CACACGACCGTCAGGAAGCTCCTTGGAGCGGGTTATTCCACGTTGGAATCTGACACTCTACCAACTGAGTTAAGGGATCTGAAGATCGCGAAATTTCGGTGGGTACAAGTCGCGCCGCGGGCCTCCAGTGTTCGAATGAACAGGTGGCCAAGAGTGATGACGAGGTCACGAAGGGAGGTCAAGAGGGAGGGTACAGTCTGGTAGAGTGGCAGCTGGCGTCATGGCGTAACAGGTCAACTTATTGTCTGTACAGGTGGGACGAGTGACTATCGATGTTGGAACATGGGCAACGCGTGCGACGGAGCTTCCTCGCTTCTGCGCGCTCGTTGTTACGTTCGTTGGCGGCCCTGGGTTTCTCACTCCGCTTCCAGCCATACCCCGCTTGTTGATAACACTGAGACAACGATGGAGACCACCACGGAAGTTCTTGACCTTACCCACAGTCGATTCAGTTTACCAATCGCGCGTCGCTTCCCAACTCTCTTCGGCCTCCCGCCGAGATCTTACAGGCCGCCTCCTGTACTCATGTTCTAAACCCTATTCGGAACTCTCGAGTGCATTTGTGCGACGCCAACGCTGCCGATCTCAACAGACCCGCTGCCCCACTTCCTAAGTCCATTTCTCTCGTGAACGACGGAGCACGTGATGCGGTGCCAGCCCGCCCCGCTTTGATCTCGACATGAACATGGCATATCCCCTCGCCACACTGCTTCATACAACTGCACGTCTGACCTCTTGACGAGCTGTATCACTCGCCGAGCGTGCCCATGGTGTTCACCGCTGGCCGCCCGCGAGACCCATCTGCTCTGGATCACTTTGACACGCGACCCTGTGCTCGGACAACCCCAGGGAAGGCGATCGCGACGATCATCTGCGATGCGTAGCAGGTGGGGTCGCGCAATCATGGATGACCTCGAGCAAGCCTGAGGGCCGGCCAACTGGGGGAGAGCTGGTCGGACTGTGTAGCTGTGTAGGTGTGGAGAATGAGAGAAGCGCAAACATCGCCTTGCGGCTGGGTGCAGAGAACAGTGCACCATCACAACCACGAACACGAGGACACAGAAGGTAGAGGAGGGCACGTGCAATGCGATGCTGTACCGCATTCGCACACGGGCACACACTTACACGCTTCGCGCCGCACATAGTGCCGACCGTTCTTCCGATCACTTTGACTCTCCTCTACCCATCACTCACACAACCTCAACCACTGACGACGACAAGCTGTAATCCTATCGCGACGATACGCTCTCGGCACTCTCACAACCTTTGCAGATAAAGTCATCACATATCTTTGGTCCGCCATGTCGGTCCAGATCGCACGCCAGATCCGACAGTTGACTGAGGTCGGCGCTCAGATCGAATCACCAGGTTTGATCTCCCTCTGGCACTTACGCTGACTACAGGCAGCATCGTATGTGCCCGCACTATGCATACGTTGACTGACTGCAGAGTCTCGCGGTCCTGACCACAACAGACCTCCCAACGACAATGCAGACATCGACGGCAACCGCCACCGGCTCGACTTCGGAGTCCAACACTTTGTGGGGGAGACCTTTAGCACTGCTGATCCCAGGCCCACTGGGGTGACCGTCGGACTCGCTTTAGTGAGTGCGCGCTGCCTCCGTCGCATATCAAAGCAGAGCGCTCGTGGCGAGCCCAACAGCTTCCTCCCGCCCATCAGCACACAAGCATGGCTTTCCTGCCCAGGGCCAACTATTCATACCCTCCCTCCACTTTCCACCTCTTCAAAACCCACTCTCCACTCCCAACTGCCCGCTGCTCATGGCCCCATGTCTCTTCCACCCGCCTGAAGCCGTACGTCGCGCTAAACCCAGGGTCTTATCGTCATCACTGCACTCGCGATCTTTGCTGTTTACCTCATCCTCCGACGGCGGCGCACCTCTCGCGGCCCCCGAATCGATCCGTACGCAGCCGAGGCAACCGCCATGGCCAACCTGCGGCCGCGGACGTCGATCCTTAAGCGCCCCGGCGGTGTCGGCGTGCTCTCCAGCGTCAACGACCGCGGCACGATGGCCGGGTACGGATGGGTGCGTCTTGACACAGACGATCGCGCGTCGTTTGAATCCACATACGAATATGCCGACTCGACCAACCCGCCAACTTATGGAGAGGCTAGCCACGGAGGTGCGCGAACCTGGACGGGTCCGAGCGATTCTTCTGGTGCGAGCGGAGGGGCGAGCACCCCTGCTCCAGGGGAAGGAGACGCGACTGCTTTTCGCGTCCACGGTACCATCCGCAACTCAGGCGGGTTTCGAAAGGTGCGCGGGGCGCGAGCCGACGCGCAGTCTGCAAGCCAGCCGGGGAGTGAAAGAGGCCATGTTTTGAAGCTGCGCCTCGACCCCGTCCTTACCAACCGCGCTGCACCTCTCTCGGCCGGGAGCCCGAGCACGCCCACGCCTCAGTCTCCGCCAACGCCGCGCGCAAGTCACATGAGTCACATGCCTTCCTTCCGTGGCGGCGAACTGCACCGGTATGACACGTTTGGGCGGAGACGGGAGGATACACCTAGCACGCTGTTCGATGTCGACGACGCAACGGTTCAGACGGCAATTGCGGGGCAGCGTGCCGGCTCCGCGTGGGCGCCGACCCGCGTGTAGCCAGCGGCATGGCGTTGCAAAGACGTCAGGCTGGACCAGGGAGAGTGTGTGTTCATGAGGCGCGGGCAGGTCTGGCCTGTACGCCCAAGCGTTAATGAGATGAAGAAGGTATGCAGCCGACGAAGAGGAGGGAGAGGAGGGAGACGCCGGCGTGACCAGAACATTATGCAGGTATTGCGATGAGCCGAGCGCAGGCACTAGGGAAGTGTGTGGCGGACATTGATGGGATGGGATGGTTGGAAGCTTCCTGGGAGCGGAGATCTGGCCGCTCCGACGTTCCTACGCGCGAGCCAGTCACGCTAGACAGGAGCGCACGAGTCGGGTGGCGGGCTCCGGGGCGTCCGGGAAGGGCTGGTGGCTGGCATGGCTGACCGTCGAAGGGCGTCGGGAGAAGGCGTGCCAAAGGCATGGTCAGAGCGCGCCGAGACACGCGAGGCACCACGACAGCGGCACAGCGGTATACCGGCCGCGGACTAGCGGGGGCGAGTGTCGGATGCGGAGCGAGGCCTCAGTGCTCGCTGGCGGGGGCGGGGCGAACGCCGGAATACGGACGCGTCGCGTGTTCCAAAGCGCGTGTTCGCCCCGTCAGTGGCGCGAAGCTCGACGCGAGACGCGCGGCGCGACGCGACGCATCGGTGCGAGCGGAACCCTCGGCGCACAGCCGGGCCGCGACTCGGCCGCGCAACGCTCCGATCGGGATGGGGTGGAGATCTGCCTCGCGCCGCGTTTCACGCACAGACGCGGGCATGTACCTGTGCCTGCGACATGCGGCACACAGCACTCGGGCCTTGGTTCTCCGCGCGGGCCGGGGGTCTGGAGCGCGTCCCGAGCGTGGGTGTGCGGCCTGCGGACGAGGCTGAAGCGCAGATAAGCGTCGGCGTCTTGCGGATTTGAGCTCTGAGCTTTGACGTTCAGATTGAGTAAGCTGTCACCTTGTTAGTAGAGGTGAGCGACAGTCAGTCACCACTGTCGGGTCGCATGTATGTCCAACTTTGAAACTGCCTTGTCCAAACAAGTTATTTTTCGTGGCCACCGGATCCGCGTTGAACTACCGGCTCCGTCTCGGCGACGGGTACGTACATGCCGAGACGAGCCAAGGAATGGCGCGAGGGGACGCCACTTAACCCGCCGCGTTGTTTGGATTCTGCCCATCGAGTGACGCCTCCGCCTCCGAACCAACGCCTCCGGTCCGCGCGGCATGCGCGCGGCAGGCTGCATGTTAGCGCCTCGCCCTGTTCAACAATGAGCGCGATGGACGCGATGAACAAGCTGTCAAGGCCGTCAAACTCCCCAGGCGTGATGACGACGGCCAAGGCCTGGCCATGTGGAGCGTAGGGCATGATGCAATGGCCACGGCCAGCAGGCGACGCTGCCGCGCACCCTGCAAAATGTGCCGGCAAGCGCTGGACGCTAGGTGTGGTGGTAATGTCCCGCGGTGCGGCACTGTTGATCTGGTGCATGCGAGGAATGGAATGGAGTGCAATGCGATGTCGCCTGTCGCCTGACGCATGTGGACTGGTGCGCTGGTGCATGGCTGTGCGCGGGTTTCAGCAGAAGGGCAGACGCCGCTTTCCGCGGGATCCGCGTGCCGACGTGAAACGGCCTGGCCATGGGGTGGGGACAGGGGGATCGGTGAGATCTGCAGTGCGGTCCGTCGCACATCACTTGCGCCCTCGTCTCGATGCTTCTCCGGAAACGTCGGCGCTCCCACGCTTCCGACTTCGCCTTCGGATCGCCTTCACCCCCATCACCTTCATGCTTCGCATCGCGCTTCAGGCTCGGTATCGCCGTCAGACGCTTCCGAGTGTACAGTATGGCTTACTGACATTGCTTCTGGCGTTACTCGGCCCGGCTGTCGCCGACGCGGCTAACTTTCAGTTTTGCGCAAGGGCGGTGAGGGCAAGCGGGGTGAGAAACAAATGAAAAATCAGGCGCGATGCTCAGCTGGAGGACAGATTGCCAGATTGTCAGAAGGCCATGGAAATTGCAGGATCCACCCTGGGCTTACGAGAGATGGCACTCGCAGCCCACGAATCGCTGGCTGGCGGCTGGCGCGGCTGGAAAGCGATTGAAGCCAATAATGCGTCTGGTATTCAGCGCTGGCAGGGCGTGGCGCGTACCAGTTCTCCGCAACTGCGGGCGGGTCACAAGGGACATGAGACCCATGGCCGGGTGCAAATTGTCACCACGAGGCGTCAATTCAGCCGCCCGTGCTTGACGGCCTCGTCTCCGGGGTTGCCGCACCTGTCGACGCCACCCCCCGTCGGGCAAGAATGCGATCTGATCACAACGGCACCTGACATGACCCAGTAAGCCGGCATGGCGGCGCGGAAGTGAGTACGTCTGCACGTTTGTAGACGTGCGTCATGCTCACTCGCGTCGGTTGTTGGTTTGGTGGGAGCGGTATGCAGAGCTTGTCGGACGCGTTGTTTGGCCAGCTCGGCGCGTCAAAAGCATGATGCGTAAGCGGCGTGCAAGGTGACGCCTGTAGCTTCTGTCACGCTGCACCGGCGTGATGTGGAGTGCAACTTCTGGACTACGGCTGGCGGCGATGACATCAAGCCACAGTGGAATGGGGAGGGGTCAGCTGGATAGCGTTTGCCTAGTAGCAGCGATTGCAGCATTGTATTGCATGACTGACAGACTGACAGACTGAAAGTAGCGCCGCAACGCTACCATGTCCTAGATCAGAGACGTCCCTGGCGATCAGTGAGGGCGTGACAGTGACACGGCGACTGTGGCCGAGATCGGGTGTGAGCTGGTGAGGCATGTGAGGCAGAGGAAGATGAGCGATGGGCGAGATGGGAAGGAGCATGGCATTGCAAAGAGGCTTGGCGCGAGGGTGAGGTACTGGGAGAGACAGCAAGGTTGGTGGCGTTGCCAGTCGCCGCAATGTTCGGAGGCTGGCGATTTCGCAAAGCGGGCGCAGAAGGTGAGAGCGGAATAATTGTGAGGAGTAATAATCCAGGCGAGGCGTGATGGCTAGCAGTGATCCAGCATGCAGATGAGAAGCGAGGAACGGGTGGACAGGCTGACGGGCGGCGCGGGCGAACAGGCGGACGGAAATGAATCCAAGTTCAGGTGTCGTCGGTAGTTGGGACCCTTTGACCTTTGACAAGAGCAAGAGGAGAAACTTGAGGCGAGAAAGCAGTCGCGTCGAGGTCCTCTGGTCTTTTGCCTGTCGAGCATTCTTGGCTGAAGGGAAAACAGCCGCGACCCTGTCGCCTCGCTCCTCTGTTCCCCCTCCCATGGCCCCCCTCCCCCCTTCGTCCTCCACCCTACCTACGTAACATGTCGACAAAACAAGCCCTCGCTCGCACACTCTTCTCCCTCCGCCGCTCCCCGCCGCCGCTCCCTCCGGCTCGTTCGGCTCCTCTCATCGCAGACCGCTACAGTGCGAGATACTGTCCTCTGCACAGTCTGAGAGCAAAGAGCCGGAAGCTGAGAGCTGTGGAAGAACAGACACGCCACGCACACCCTGGGGTGCGTCTCGTCCATTCTGTCCACTCTGCAACTCTGGCTCATCACCATCCGTATTCTGGACACCGCAACCGACACTGCGACACCCCGGCGACACCCCTCTTGGCCTCTTTGGACCCCTCACCACCCCCCCCCCCCCCCCCCCCCCCCCCCCCCCCCCCCCCCCCCCCCCCTACGCAGGCTCGCAATCAATCCCTTTCCCATCCTCCACTTCGCTCATCTGCAGTGCCCAACCCGTCTCGCAATATCGCAATCTCGCCCCGAGCTCCTCTCTCTCTCCACCTTCCCTAGCCCCTCACCGAGCGCCCCCCCACATCGCCCTCTTTCGCCCTACAGCTGGCAGCTGGCCCACACCCCCTCTGGCGTGATCGTCATTCTCGTCCTTCTTCTTTCTCCTCCTCCATCTTGACATCACTCTCTCGTCTCAACCTGGCGCATCGAGAACGACTCATCCATCACGCTCAACGGCCCGATCCTGTATAAGAAGGGTGAGTCTCGCACCGCCGCGGTTCGCCATCATCAAGCGCACGCCCGCCCCCTTCTTTTGCGCCTTGACCGGGGCTGAACATTTACCAGTTATCGACATCTGTCTCCATATCCGCGCACACGGTCTGTACCCCGCCCCGGCCCTCTGTCCCTCGTCCTCGCCCCACCACGCCCTCCGCCTCGGCCGCCCCCAAGCCCCGTCCCCCTCCCCGCCCCTCCGTCCTATCTTGTGCCCGCGGTCCGTCTCACCGGGCCGGTGGTGTGCGTTGAAAGCCAAAGGACTGCTCTGCAGCCATCCACGACATCCGCTTGCACATATCCACATTGGACGCTCCTGTACAACTCCTGGAGCCGCATGGTCCTTTTGTTCAACTAGAACACGACCACGACCCAAGAAGCCGACCCACAGACCTACCAATCCGCAACCCCGTCTCGACATTTCATCCTGTCTGCACGGGCGTCGCAACTCTTTGACTGTGCCGCATAGAATATCCCACGGCCCCCTCTCGATCCAGCCTCGGAAGGCGACAGCACTTGTGACACGCTGGTGCGCACCGCACCTCGGCTTCACTGGAGCGCAGAGAATCGATCTGGCGCTCGCACCTCTTTGACGGGCCCAGCCATTCATCGGCCCTGTGCATCTACTCCCAGTCGACCTACCAACTACTACCCCTCCTCCCCCTTTCCCTGGCTCATCATCTGGCTCGCTCGCACTGGCACTGGCACTGGCAACACTTTCATCTCGGCGAGACAGACAGACACCCACACACACTGCCTCCTCCACACACACCCCCTCTCGACACACACACCCCCTCCCATCTCATCCTCAATCCCCCTCCACACACACACCCCTCAAACCATCCCTCATCCGATCCCTCTGCTCTTCCATCATTCTCCCCTCTCCTCATTCTACCGCAACTCTCATCTCCTCGCCCTCCTCTTCTCTTAACACACTTGTGGTCAAGAGTCCACGCAACGCAGTGTCACCATCTCGTACGTTTTCAAGTTCACCATCCCTCCTATCCATCATCACATTTGTTGTCGCCGAGCTCACACACATTCCATCGTCACCCCTCCCTCGCTCGCATTCAATAAAACACAACAGGCCCCTGCGTTACCCCAAACAACCTCCCCCGTCAACGTCACCAAACATGTCTCTGGCAGGCTTGGTGGACGATGCCCTCCCCTCCTCCCCACTGGGCGATGCCTTCTTCATCAGCCGGCCAAGCTCGCCAGACGACTCCCCTGGTCCCTCACCAACCCGCACCGAGGTCGATCTCCCATTAGATGTCGACGAGTCCTTCAACTCGTCCATGTCATTCTCAGCATGCGACTCACCTCCCGCACCTTCGCCCTCGATGCACCTCGGCAAGGCCATGAGCATGGCGCCTTATTCGCCGACGCCCGCCGCCGGCCCCAGCAGCAGGCGTACATTGATGGCAACCAAGTCATTGTCGTCGGCCGTGATGGGCAATGGCTCGTCACGGACGACAGGGCACACCTTCTCGTTCGGACGCGAGCTGTCACTTAACGCGGCACGTCCCAGCACTTTTGGTCAGCCAAGCAAGGCTAAGGGACAGATGCGTCCGCCTTCAGTCCCAGAAGGCAGACTCATGTCGCCGAACCGTCTCCACGCAACCTCCTCGCAGGAGAATATGAGAGAGCCACAGCTCTTGATGTCCCGATGGGGTCGTCGCGAGGTAGGGAACCGTCCAATTGTGCGCTAACCTTGTTGCAGTCGGAACCTGCAGTTGAATCTCCGTACAAGCGCGAGGTGTCCTCGAGCATGGATATGGATATCGACTCGCCTGCGCCGGCTGGCCGTCTCAGCGCTTTCAACTCGCCCGCCCCGACCGATGCTGGCTCTCCAGACTTTGGAAGGTTCTTTGCCGAGTCACCGGCCATGCCCGCTGCCTCCAAGCGCCGTGCACCTCCCTCGCCCGGATCTCCGTCAAGCTCGCCCTCTACGCATCGCATGCGCACCGACAAGGCAATGTCATCGAATACCCTGTTTGGGACACGCAACACGGGCGGTCTCGGCCAGCGTCGATCGGGAGCCTTTGCGTCGCGTAGGCCACCACTGCAGCCCATCATCGCCGGCGATGCGCAGCGAAACATGGGCACCACATCAGCCAACCCCATCCTTTGCGGTCCGGCGTTGCCCACCCGCTCAAGCTTTATGCGCCGCGCCAACTCCATGTTCTGCGACCAAAACACCAGAGAGGGAAGTGACAACGACAATGAGTCCGAGTTTGAGACCTCCTTTGAGGCTTCTCCTTCAATCCCGGACATCCGACGGCGTTATGGCCGGCCCCCACTGCCCCGTGTCGACGGGTCACCCAACAAGGCACGTTCCTCGGCAACCTCGCTCCAGAACAACCTGCTGGCGGCCCGTCCACCAGTGAGAGCCGAGATCGGTGGCCTGGGCAGCTTTGGAGAGAACGAGCTCCAGGGTAAGATTCTTCCCTGTCACTCCATCAAAGACGACGGACTTGTACGCATCACTCCGGAGACGCTTCGCGATGTCCTCGATGGCCACTACGACAGTAAAATCAAACGGTTCCACATCATCGACTGCCGCTTCGATTACGAGTTCGAGGGTGGGCACATTGATGGTGCTATAAATATCCAAAACCCAGCCGAGCTGGACTCGCTTCTCCTGTCACCAAATGCTGGCATCAACGAAGCTGATGGAGCACTTCCAGCTCCCAGCACAAGTGGAGCGGTGGACGGCACCCAGCAGGTAGTCCTCATCTTCCACTGCGAGTTCAGCAAGAAGCGCGCCCCCGAGGTTGCGCGCGAGCTCCGCATGCGTGATCGCAGACGCAACGAGGGGCACTGGCCGCAGGTGCACTACCCGGAGCTATACATTCTCGAGGGCGGATACTGCAGCTTCTTCAAGCACTGCCCCACCAAGTGTGAACCCCAGGCGTATCGCGAGATGGAAGGTCATCAGCTGTGCGACTCCAAACTGAGCACATTCAAGAAGGACTTCCAGCGTACGCGTTCTATGCCCGCCGGCGAGATGCGGCCTCTGCGTGGCGAGATGCCCCCTCCTCCATGCGGTTCCTTCATCCGCCCCATGCCTCCTCTTGGGCGCAGACGTGGGATGGAAACGTCAAGATCTGTCGACCTTGACTCTTCACCCGTTCCCTCAGACGCGAGTCCGTGCGCACGCACCTTTGGCATGAGTCAGGCGCCACCTCGCTTTGCCACCGTTGCCACGAGAACGCATAATAGAGCAGGTTTCCAGCGCCACGCTTCGTTCGCAGGCGCCAGTGTGCGGCGGTAACACACTATATCAACACGACTGCAATCGCAACCGCGCCGCTTGTAGCGGCCGGCTTGCTACGACAACACGACCCAGACCGACCCTCAACACTCATTTGTACAGTAAAATTGCGCATTCCATACCCCGGTCCATGCCCGCCATGCCTTATCCCGTCGCCTAACGCACCGTCATCGCTCCTGCTTCACGACTTTTGTCATCGGCCTAGCCGACTGGGGTCTTTATATTGTTTTCTTTCCTCACACACGCAACAGCAACGTTTCTTTTGTCACCCTTCCAGCATCATAGCCACCTCCTCCACATCACACCTTATTGTCTTCCATCCCGTCTGGTTACTCCTCCGTGGGCTTGGGCCGACCGCGTCGGCTGCGCTGCGCGCCACCCCACAGCTGTATCATCATATGCTTTGTCATAATGCTGCATAGAGCGATAGATGCATGCGCCTTGAAGCAGAGTCAAGGGGCTGTCTGAGCTGCTGAATCTTTTGGGTGGCAATTGGGGACAAGTCGTCCAAGGCGCTCCATGACGTCACGACTCTTGTTCGACTCTCAGTGTGGACATGAAAAGTGGAGGTCGTGATGTGGCTGCAGATTCCCACGTGTCGCGGAATCAAATTGTTTTGGTCGATCTCCTTGCCCCTCCACCATGTCGTTCTGAAAGTTTGAGGGTTGAGCGACCAGTCCACATCATCGACACTATGGGCAAGAAGGACAAGAGCGATAAGAAGCGCAAGCACGACAAGGTGGAAGCGGCGTCTGAGGCCCCCGCATCCGGCTTTTCGCTGTTTGGCGGGTCCAAGGATGCCGAGCTCGACAGCATCTTCTCAAAGAGTGTAAGCTGTGTGTGGTGAGCGGGCTGACATGTAGGCAGCCTTTGCGCTCCCCACAGCATCAGCCCCGACGGCGACGGCGGCGGCATCCGAAGAGCCTGCGCGCAAGAAGGCCATGAAGGCAAAGGCCAAGGTCGAGGCCGAGGCCGATGCGGCCAAGAAAGCTGCGGAAAAGACCAAGGCTAAGGGCGCGGAGAAGGCCAAGGCTAAGGTGGCGGTGGAACCGGAGGAGGAAGACGCTGTTGCGGGCTCTGAATCTGAATTTGAGGGCGAGCTCGTGCATGAGGCGCTCAAGAGTCCTTCGGCACGGCGCGCGCGCGACAACAAGGGCCAGACGAGCAAGTACGTGCCGCCCGACGAGACTCAGGCGGACCGGGACCGTCGCACGTTGTTCATTGGCAACCTGCCTATCTCGGCGACAGAGAAGGCCGGTACGGCTGCGCTCAAGCGTCACCTTCTCTCGTTTGCGCCGTCGGCTAAGATCGAGAGCGTACGCTTCCGCTCCGTCGCGTTCAGCACGCCCACCTCTGCCGATCTAACGGGGGAGGCGAAGACGAAGGAGGACGAGGCGAAGGAGGCGAGCCGGCGCGAAGCGCGGGAGAAGGAGCGCGCTGCTGCGTGGAAGGCGTCGCAGGCTGGATCGAGTGTGGGCGGGCGCGGGAATAAGCGCGGCGACGACGAAGTTACGGACAAAAGCAAGAGTTTCCTCGACAAGAAGGGGAAGCGCAAGGTCGCGTTCATTAAGAAGGACGTGAGTGACTGGATCTGCATGCAGAGCTGACCACAGTTCCACTCCGAGGCGGACTCTTGCAATGCGTACGTTGTGTTTGCGCACCCGCACCCCGACAGGCCCAGGAATGTTGCGCCGATCCTCGACCCATACGAGGCGGCCGCTACCATCGGCCCCGCGGCTAACGGGAGCGAGGTGCTTGGCCGCGTGATTCGGGTGGACGCTGTGCGGCTCCCATCCGCCGTCGCACTCGCGAGCGCGCAGAACAATCTGGGCAAGCGCGATGCGTGGCTTCCCTCCGGCACCGACCCGAAGTGCTCCCTTTTCGTCGGTGGGCTCGACTACGCCGCCAAGGATGACGACGTGCGCGCTTTCTTCGAGTCACTTGTGGTCGCCGAGCGCGGAAGCCCCGAGTCCGGGTCATGGGTCACGGGCGTGCGCATTGTGCGTGACCGTGACACGCAGATGGGCAAGGGATTCGGCTACGTGCACTTCGTGGACCGCGAGAGTGTTGACGAGCTCATTTCCATGCCCTCTGCCAAACTCAAGTTCGCTAAGAAGCCTCTGCGCGTGCAGGCGTGCAAGACACTTCCACCAGCTGCGAAGCGCGCGGCCGCCGCCGCCAAGTCTGATGGCAAGGATGGCAAGGACGGCAAGGCCAAGAAGGAGAGGGCACCGAAGCGGACAGCACCCGCGACGTTGCCCAAGGGAGACCCGTCGCTCGGCGATCGCCTCAAGGGGCTGAGCAAGGACGAGCGTAAGGCCGCCAAGCATGCCGACGCGACGCGTCTTGCCCGCCGTATGGCCAAGAAGGCCAACAAGGTGGCCAGCGCGCACAAGGAGACGGGAGCAGTCAAGCTGGCCGCGACGAAGGCCGAGAAGGGGCTGCGCGCGAAGAAGGTCAAGGCGAAGAAGGGACGTGTGAGGAGTGCGCACGCGCTCACCAAGATGAAGGGAAAGCGGGAGTAGACGACGAGGCCGTGCAGAGTACGCGGTGGGGTTATACTAGATGCATGCACACTGTACTTCTACAGCTGGGAGCTCGTTGGTCACCGCCCCGTCACTTGTCCGGGGCCCCCACCGGCGACCTCCGGTTGACGCCGGTCCCAGCGCGTCGCGCATCGTTGTTATCGCCTCCTTTCCTCGTCACTCCCGCTCTTATCCTCACGACTCCACACTTAATCCTAATGACACCCACCTCAACGCTTGCCTACCTTCGTTCCCTCACTGCTGTGCGCGAGCGCAGCACCGAGGTCTTCAACCTCATCGAGTCTGGCAAGTCGGACCACTGGGACTGGCACGCAGATAAGCTGCCTGTGGTAGTTGACTTCTGCGCGAACCTGCTGAGCGTGAGTCTCTATTGCCTCACATCTGACGACAGCGCGACTTTGGCTCTGACTTCGCCAGTATTCCTCGTGGGTCAACCACCCGCTTCAACGCTGATGCCAGCCCACTGCCGCCGCAACCACTTCACCACTACATCGTCGGGCACGATCGACCGGATCGCTGCGCTGAAGGCGGATCCCCGCTTCCCCACCACGCCGGTGCAGCAGGCCCGCACTCTCATCGATCTCTATCTGGCCTCTGTCCTTCTCGACGCAGGTGCAGGCAATACCTGGACATACCGCGAGGTGCTCCAGGGTGTCGAGGTCTGGCACGGTGGGCGGAGCGAGGGACTGGCTGTCGCGAGCTTCCACATGTTCTGCGGCGGCGCGTTTTCTTCAGACCCCAATGATCCACTTCGTGTCGACTGTGCGTACCTTCCCTTCCCCCTCCCTCGAACACCTCGCTCATGCGCTCACCCCAGCCACCGCCCTCAAGGCACTCACAGCCGCCAAGCTCGCCCAGCACCTGCAGGTCTCGGAAGCGAACCCCATGTCCGGCCTTGAAGGCCGCGCCAACCTTCTCATCCAGCTTGGTGCGGCTCTCGACGCACGCCGCGACATTGTGCGCGACGGTCGCCCCGGAGACATCCTCTGTGAGTCACCTTCCCCCATCCCACTGACGCCAGTTTACCTCGAGCCGCAGCTCACAGACAACGTCCTCCCCCTCACGCTGTTCTGGGACACCCTCTTCGCCCTCCTCGCGCCCATTTGGCCGGCGCGTACAACCCTTCCCTCCGCACCCGGTGAGGTGCTCGGCGACGTGTGGCCATGCCCCTCGCTCGCGCGTGCCCGCACGCACCGCGAGGAAGGCGACGATCTCGTCCCCTTCCACAAGCTTACCCAGTGGCTGTGCTACTCCCTCCTGGAGCCAATTGAGAGCTCAGCCGGCTGGCGTGTCGACCGTGGTGCGGGTCAGACGGGTTTGCCGGAGGTACGTCTTTTGCAGTCCTGAATGCCCACAGCCGCTGACACCAGTATCGCAACGGCGGTCTGCTCGTCGATCACGGTCTGCTGACCGTACGCGATCTTCCTGACTCCGCGTATCCAAACGGTCGCGATGCACCGCCTGTGCTTGCGCCCTCGGACCCAGCTGTCGTCGAGTGGCGCGCAGCTACTGTTGTTGCTCTGTGAGTCGCCGTGAGGCTTTGGCTACCTTCGGAATACTCAGACGCCAGGGACAAGATCCACGAGGGAATTTGCACCAAGCTCGGCGTCACAACGCAGCAGCTCCAGCTGGCTCAGGTGCTCGAGGCGAGCACCTGGAAGGGTGGTCGCGAGATTGCGAAGGTCAAGCGCCCCGAGACTGGCGGTCGTGCGTAACGCCATAACACCAGCGACAGCGCTGACCGCAGCTCCTATCGAGATCATCAGCGACGGCACTGTGTTCTAGGCCATTCCGCACAAGTGCCAGATCGGCTAGAAGGAGACGAGTAGGACCCATCACGGATCGTCGTGCCCAGAATGCCGCATGAATTTGTACATTTGATCAAGATACATACAAGCTGTGGGTATGGTTGTGATGCTCATGTTGCGCGCAGGCATCCTCTTCCTATGCGGGCGTCACAGCTCCTGAACCACGCGGCGCAGCGCGCACAAATGCCAGCGCGCTGTCAAGCCTGCGCGCCGCACGCCCCACCTCTTCTGGGCTACTGTCCCCCTGTGCCACATCAAGAATGGCACGCAAGCGCGCCCCGACGGCCGTTACGCCGCGGTCGCGGGTGTCCGCCTTGAGCGCGTCGGCGCGCTCCTGTGCTCGCTGGAGGAGCGATGCCGGCAGGCCCGCTAGACGCGCACACCAAACGCCGAAACTCGCATCTGCCAACCCTCGCTCAAGACGGTATAAGAATGTAATCTCGTCGAAGCCATCGGATGCGGTGCGCTGCGAGAACGCCATATGCCAGTTACTCACGGCGGTGGGGAACTGGTGTCAGTCTGTACGAGTGTCTCAAGCTCACCTCCTGCGCGAGTTGCTCCGCGACCATCGGGTAGTGGGTCACGAAGAGCGTGTTCGCCCCCGTGCCCGCCAGGTGCGCAAGGGTTGCATACGCGATTGCGACGCCATCGTACGTGCTCGTGCCCCGACCAAGTCTGAGGTCAGCGCACAGTGGGTTATCGGTCAGCTCACTCGTCGAGAATGACCAGTGTGCGCGGCGTCACCGTTCGAAGGATGTCGCTTGTCTCGCTCAGCTCCACCATGAACGTGCTCTTCCCGCGGCCGAGGTCGTCTGCAGCGCCCATACGGCTACTGTCAGCCATAGCATTGGCAGTACTCACGTTTGCACAGCGTCGTGTAGACCCAGCACTGCCTTGGAGGCCGGGACGAACGAGCCAATCTGCGCCATGCATACGATGAGAGCGATTGCGCGGACGCAACTGCTCTTGCCAGCCATGTTCGGCCCGGTGATCACCTTGGCGTGCCCATCGGCGTCGCTGAACGACACGTCGAAAGGGACATACGGGTCGTCGCGCAGCGCCTCAACCATTGGATGACGCCCGCCCTCGATGGTAAGGCTGGGCTCGGCCACAAACTCAGGCTTGGTGTACCCGCCAGCGAGCGCGACATTGCCGAGCGAGAGAAGGCAATCGATAACCGCAATCTGTCGAGCAACAACAAGAAGTTCGTGCCTTTCAGCGATCTCGGCTTGGAAGGCCTGGAAGGCAGCCTTTGCAGCTTTGGCCAGCAACTCCTTTTGCTGCTCTCGGTCCTTCAAAAGACGCATGATCTCAGGAGTGTGGAAGCGGACCACACTCTTCGTCGAGCTGATCTTGACCCATTTCGGTGGCACACTCTTGGCATCGCGCACTGGCACTTCGACAAGATACTCGATCCCGCTGACAGTGATGTAGTTTAGCGCAGGACGGCGCACCACCTTGCGCACATCCTTCAAGTGGAAATCGAGTTCGCTCTCGGACACTGCAATGCACTGGTTTCAGTGACGACAAAGCACGTGCTCACATCTTTCGCGTCCTGGATGTCAGGATACTTGTTGGAGTCGGTCCATAGGTCTGCTTCGTTGTTTGCTTTGGCCGCCTTCATGTCAATGGCTGATATAAACTCCCTTGTGGTTTCCAATATTGTGGGCAAGCTCGCCAGAATGCTGTTCAACAATTCAGATTTGAACACCTTCCCTTCAGTTGCTCTGAACTCGCTCGCAACTCGCTGCAGACCGGTGAGAATAGTCGACAGTTCGCTCAGCGTCGCTTTGCCGTATTGAACTCGCGTGAGACCGCGCACCAGGTCGGGCATGTTTACGAGCAGACTGCGCAGCTTCTCCATGTAGTGCGTGTTGTTTGTCATGACCTCGTCGACAGCGTCGATTCGAGTGCGCAGCGCTTGAACGTCGAGCAGCGGACGCCCGATCCACTCCCGCATTAAGCGGCGGCCCATACGGGTCTTCGTACTGTCATCAGTCAACGCAATATAAGTCACGGACTGGTCAAGAACTGGTTTCAGCTTTGTCGAGGCCGCCAACTCACGCCATAAAAGACTACCAAGCACCCCACCATCCGTTTGGTTACGGTAGATCTCACTGGCATGAGCTGAAGATCCCTGCTGCAATGCCCACAGATTGACAAGGGTGTTGCTTGACAAGAGCATGTGCGCGCGATTGATGAACTGCTGTCAGCGCAAGCGGAAGGCTACCAACCTTGGTGAATGACGAGCGATTTCGGAACACATTCTGCAGGTTGAACGCTATTGTCAGCTCGGCGGTTGTTTGCACCTACTCGTCATGTACTGAACGCACATCGCGAGCGCGACGACCACTTGCTTCGGAAAATCGACGAGTGCGAGCACAGCGTCCTCACCTGAGGTGAGCAGATGAACTAGATCAAATCGTACGAGGCAGACCGCGAGCGAGGCCGATGTGATCCTCTCTTCGTTCCTGTTGATTTTTCTCGTGCATGAATATGTCGCCGTCTTCTTCCTCAGTCAGGTCGATTGGCCCCCTCTCCTTGTCCTTGCCCTTATTCTTGTAAAACTCGGTAAGATACTTGAATGCCTCGCTGTAATCTTGCACACTGACGCGTTCAGTGCGTACCGTCTCGCCGGGCGACGAACTTGTGATGTGCTTGAGTACCTTCTCCGTCGTCTTGCTGAGTTTGCATTTGGGGAGGATCAGCTCCGCGGGTTGGAGGTGCGTGAGGCGGGTCTCGAGCTCCGAACGCACAGGCGAGTCTGCGTTAAACGCGATATTTCCAGTAGGACTAACCGTCAAACTCGTCGTACACAACATCGCCAGTATTTGGAACCACGCTGACCAGCGCCACACGAGCGCGATCCCCCTGGTCCACTTCAACGATTGCAACGAGGGCGCTCGTCGGTGGTGGTGCTGCACCTGATAGCAGAGGGCCATCCCGCAGATTGCTTGAAAAGGTGGAGGACTCCTCGACGTACGTCGCCGCTGTATAGAGGTGCGTGAGCTCACGCACAAAAGGTGCGTTGCGATTGTCGCCGACCTTCTTGAGCGCCGCAGTCTCCATCTGCGACACTACCCCGACTTTGTATCCCAAGGAAATGAGCCTAGTGTCAGGTAATACAGCGCCGGCTCTCACTTCTTGACATGAATGTGGAGACGGTGCGTTGGGATTGATGCAGTATAGAAGTTGCGGTTGGGGAAGCTGGAGTGAGCTGGCGTCCTATAACGAACGCTCACGCCATGATACCAAGCTCCTTGGCAGCGGTCTTCGCGTCGTCTCCGTGAAACTTGTACTTGTAACCGACTGCACGTCAGCTGGTTGCACAGAAGCGCACCTCACCCTCGGTCATGAGCAGAACGTCAGGCCACTTAGCCTTGATCTCCATGAACTGCTTTTCGAGCGGAGTGTATGTCATCCCACTCGGCCCAATCTCCTCTTCCTTCTTTTTCCTTCCGCGCTTTGCAGGTGCGGCATACTTTGCGCGCAGCGTAGCAGCAGCTTCATCTACCTCTGGAGTGGCATCGGCTGATGGGTCGCTATCCTCTCCAGCGGCGCGGCGAGCCTCTGCTGCCGCAGCTTCGTCAAGAGCCAGCGAGCGACGGCGCTGAAACCCTGACCCTTCAACAACACGTAGAAATGCCTCGTGCCGCGCCTCTGCCTCCGCAGAGCGAGGTTGACGCTCGACCCGTTCCCCTAACCTGGACAGGCGATAGTGTTCAAAGGAGGCGGGTGGACCGGAAGGGGCGCGAGCCGGCTTCTTGAAATAACCAGAGCTAGTTGAGAGATTGGCGGTTGCTGCGCGCTTGTGTGGAGGAGCTGACCGAGGAGCCGATGGTGAAAGAGCGCGCGCGCGCTTCCGCGGTGGAGAGTTAGTCAGGTCGACCGCATCTGCAGCATTGCGTCCCGATTGTGTGGATTTGGGAGCAAAGAACGCGTGGAGGGACGACCTGCGTGAGTGGTAGAGCCAATAAGCGCTGCTCACTGAGTCGCCCCGCCTTTGTCGGTCATGATGCGCTTCACTGACTAGAAATCAGGCGAGTGGATGGAGGTGGACCAAAGGTGAACATGAAAGGTGGAGGTAGTTGACGCGACCCGCGATCCTTGTTTGCGTTTTCCACTTAAGCAGAGCGTCATTGGCGGCCGAATTGGCACAGGTTGGCACAGGGCCACAGGGACCAGAAGCCGCGAAGCCTGCGAACCTGTGAACTTCCCGCGTCCCAAGCTGGCCAGCTGGAGCGGCCAATGACGTCACGGCGCAACTTACAATCATCATGGTGAATGGCGGGCTCAGCGCTCAAGGGAGGCTGCGGGCAGGCTATAACTACGCGGCCCGCCGTGACCATCTGCCTTTGTTCGCCACAACTCAATCCACCATGCCAGCCAGTGCGTCCTCCTCTACAGCAACGACACTGCTTACACCTAGCCTGCTCTGATATTATCAAGATCATCCTTGGTGAGTACAGCCATCCCGCACTCAGGCAAAGCTAACCCTAGCGATCATCCTCCCGGTACGTTCCAGAAAACATCAGCGATAACGACGACAAACTAATGGCAGCCTCTTGGTGTTTTCCTCGAGCGCGGCTGCGGTGCCGACCTCCTCATCAACATCCTCCTGACGTGTCTGGGCTACATTCCCGGTGAGTATGTGTGGCGGTCGGACACGGAGATATCTGAGGCGCCGAGACGCCCGCCCGTGCTTCTCAACGTTCTAATGCGCCCACCCTCGCACCTTTCCTGGGACCTCAGGCCTTCTCTTCTCTTCACCTGAGCCCCTGCTTTCCGCAATGCAGATCGTCAACCTGGGCTTGCCCCTGGAGATCCTCCACCATTCTTCCACTCCGCCACTCCATTATGGCTACCGACATTGTCTACCAACTCATCCCGTCCGCTTCTACAGAGCTTGCGAGGACCCAGCTAACGCCAAAAGGAATTATTCACGCCCTATACATCATTCTGAAGTGAGTTTGACGCTCTTTTATCGCACGCTGGAGCTGGCTAATCCACAGATATTGATCGGGTGGCGCTCCAGGAAGACTGTGAGCGCGTGGTGTTAGTCGAGGAGCAGCAGTAGCGTAATGAGCAGTCGGAGATGTAAACAATGCGAGGCGCAGAATCCCTTCAGTGTCCGATATCTCCTTCGTATTCTTCGTCGGCCGCTGCGCAGACTGCACACTCCACAGCTGCGCAATGTTCCAAAATGCTGCAAAGACTATTCTCGGTTGCTCGCTCCAGCAAAACGTAACGCCGCCCCACTTCAGCTGGTAACTCTTTCGCACCGGCGGCCGCCTGCTCCACCCAGCGAATCATGAGCACATGACACTGCGCCAAGCAGTGCAAGGGGGGGTGGGCCAAAACGTCTGTCTTCCCGTCATACCCGTTACTCTTGGTTCTGTGTTTGGCGCGCCGTCCGTTCGACGAGCAGGCTTGGCTGACCCCTGCCATGCCACTTGGCGCCGGACGCCGAGCCCGTCGAGCCTCACCATTTTGACAAGTTTTCCATGACATCATATGTTTTGGCCCACGGTCTGCAGGAACGTGTGCCAGGTATGGACCGTAATTAGATATGGGTGAGGAATGTAATGATTTCTACCAGCGAATTAACTGCGCGACGACAACGATCACGATAGATGGCTGCAGACTTGGCGGAACAGTGGCCGCTGGTTATGTCCCGCGCAGAAGAGGTCGTCCATTCTTGGCGATCGGCGGGATAAGGTGATCAGTCAATTCTGAACAGCGGTGGACAGATCGCCAGGGGACACAGCGATCAGACTATTGGCGGACTGGAGAGTCTGACACCCTTCTAAATATGTTTCGGCGGAGGAGTCTAGTTGGCCAGCGCGACTCTCACTCCACAGACATAGCCCTTGTCGCCCTATCTTTCCTGGGCGGTGCGGAATCGCGGCAGTCATCGCCAAGGGCACAGGCGGGTCTGGCTCAAGAGCGTGGTGCCTTCCGTACCTAGGTGTACGTGGGTGGTGAGGAATGCGACGATGCAGTACGTGGACGCACAAGCAGCGGCGGGTATGTGATGTACGCGACCTCCACAGCTTCACAGCTTCACAGCTTCACAGGATGTGGGGCATGAGAAAGATCGCGCGGCGGACGCTTGGCCGCGGGCACTGTTCTTGTGTTCGGCCCCCGGAGTTTCGCGTGCTTCTGCCACCCTCGGGATTCGGTCCGCTCGGGCCCCGTCCAGCTCCGTTTCGCAGTGATCAGCAGGAACGTGTCGGACCGAAACACGCCATGAGGGATATGAGGGTCGGCGACAATCGGGTCGTTTATCAATGATCGACGCGCACGCGTCGGGGGTACCTGATGCGAACCTGAGTGAGCTTGTACGCTGGTACGCTAGTGTCCTCATCAGATCTAGCACGTGTTCGCCAAGCGAAACCACCGTCTGCTCTCCAAACGGCAGCGCGCACTCTTATGAGAGATCACTATCCATGTCCTGGGTCCATGCCCTAGGAATATCTGGACGACTACCCTATGCTGTATCATATGACTCGGAATCCAGCTCCGACCTGCACCCTGTGGTGCGCGCTGACTCCGACAGTGGCCTACTGGCCTGTTGCTCACGCAGATCTCTACAGCGGATGCGGCTGTGTCGCGTTCTCCTGCGCAGCCCGCTCCTCCGCCTTCTTCTTCTTGCGTTGCATCTTCATGTGGACGAGGCCCTGCTGTCAGATTCGGCATTCGCTCACACCTCACGCAAGCATTGCACAAAGTGCGGGGTCCTAGAGGTCCGCGGCGCCACTCCGGCGTCTCGGTTACGCCACAACCGCGACAGTACGTGTTCGCGCGACGCTTGGCGCCGGGGAACGTATGATCGGGCCGCTCGTGGGGCGGAGTGCGCTGGGGCGCAGGCGTCAGTTTCGGGGTCCTTCCCTCAAGTATGTCGGATGCAGTGTGCGCGATGTCCAGCAGTGAACGGAAGTCTTGACCTGTAGCGGGAGGACCCGGTCCATTTGCAGGGCGCATGTGGGGAAGAGCAGCTTGCAGATGCCGAAATATGGAGAGGGCCTAAGGTCAGCAGGGCTGCGATGGGGCGCACCTTGGTATACTCGGCCACTCCGACTTGCGCCGTCGTCTCACTGTCGGCGCGGCTGTTGGGGTCGCCGCTCATCGGGTTAGTGCTGTACCCGGGAAACAGGGAGGGCGGGTACGCGTCCGGGTTGGTCATCCACTGGAAGTCCATGTTGTTGCCTCCTGTACTGCTGCCGCCACCGTATTGCTCGGGCGGGAGGAAAGGAGCTGGGCCGGAAGAAGGGCCAGCCATCGCATCAGGCAGTAGGCCGTACAGGTGCTGCTGTGGGTCGCGAGTCGACTGCATCCTGGAAGAGTGTAGATTGGACGAGGATGAAGTCTGGCCGAGCTCGCGCGTGTCGCGCTCAAAGGGCCACTCGTAAGCCGAATTAGTCGTCCTAGGTTCGGGGTGGGGGGAGGCCAGATGGTGAGGGCTCGTTCTTTGTCTGGGAGGAGACAAGTTGTGCACGATTGGGGTAGGCGAGTGAAGAGTACGACGCAGCGTTCCAGCGGGGTCGCGCGGCTCGTAAAAAGACGCAGAAGACGGCCAGGACTGGTCGGCAGGACGCGCGGAACCCTGTTGGCGTGGTGCGGATCCGGACAACGCGGAGAGTTGACTAGAGGATGCAGAAGGGATGGACCGGGAGACGCTGCCCATCGGGTGGCTAAGATTATTGGATGTCGACGGCGCGAGGCCGCTCGGCTGGATGTCCGGGCCTAACAGTGGTTGAGTTGTGATGCGATGTGACAGCTCGTGAGAGTGTATGAGACGAGCGATGGAGATCGGGGACGTCGGTGGTGATGAGTGGCTTTTATGTGCCGCAGGATGTGTGGGAGGCTAAGAGGAATGATTCTCTGGATGGGTGTGGAAGTGCGGGATAAGAGGGCAGGTCGTGTGGATTATGCGCGAGTCGACAGTCGGAGTACGCGGCAACGATTTTGTGCAGGGACACGGGCGTCGGTGGCGCTGAGTGTGGTGTGGTGTGTCGTGAGTGGGTATGATGATGATGGGGAGGAGGAGGATGAGGGTGATGATGAGGAGGAGGAGGAGGAGGAGGATGATGAATGAATGGATGAATGTGAGGTGGGATCGGTGAAGAAATGCAGTGTCGTGGGATTGTTGTCGTTGAAGAGTGCAAGAGAGACGGCCCCGAGGTCAGAAGAAGAGTCTCCAAGCCATTCCTCACTTCGGCTCGAGGCTCACCCCAATTACCCCAACTTGCCTGCCTTGCATCCCACACTCCTTACCCGTATCACCCGCACCCACCCAGTCCACCGGCCACCCAATCCATCCAATCATTCCACTGCAACCGATCGACCGGTACAGCTGATCCGCATCCTGTCATTCTCTCACCCATGCCCTCATCCCTTGCACTCTTTCCCTCAGGCCTGGATGCTGGAAATACGTGGCGGCGTGTGGGGTGGGTGTGCGGGGCAGGTGGGGGTGGTGGGGGTGGTGGGAGAGGTGGGCGGCAACAGAGGCGCGAGCGGTGAGCTGTTCCGCTCCAGGGTTACCGAGGCAGTTGCAATTTGCACACAGGGCACCTACGCCCTCGACCGAAAGAGAACGGATCCTCCCGCCCTGAGTCGCACCAGCTGGCCTAATGCGAGCTGCTGCCTGCATGCACCTGCATGGCCTCTGGCCTGCTCGTAGGACTCGCAGAAATTCCAAGCCTCACATGCCTCCCGCCAGCTGACTCGCAGTCGTCAGCTGGCAAGCCATGCCCCGCTGCCCTCGAAGCAGCCAAAGCCTCGCCTCACCTCACATGCCTGGCGTCGGGGGCATGAACCTTGGTAACTGGGCACCTGCGCTCCTTCTGGAGCGTTGCATACGCACCTAGCCTTAATTGCCTTTATCTTTACCCTCGCGACGCCCACTTCTTCCGGGCCCTCGGCGCCTCGGGCCTCCCGCCTCGGCCCCCCTCTCGTCCGGACCCACGACTTCGGAGACCCCATGCCCTGTTCCTTCCACTCCTTCGGCTTGAAAGCCAGCAGGGTTTGTCTGCTCTTCATTCGTGGAGACTGTTACAAGGGCTGGATGACAAGCTGATTGTTTACAGCATTGCTGTGGCATCCGGGGCGGTGCTGGTCAACCGCCTTGCGTCTGGGGTTGTACAGCAAAGGAATGCCGGATGGCGGGAGCAATGGTAGTTGGCAGAGTCATAACGAACATCGTTACTCGACGACGATATTTTAGACATAACATCTATGCACCCTGAGGCCACTGTCGTGTGGTTCTTCGAGTTCGTTCGCGACCCATCTCGCTTCCAACCTCCTGCATGATCCTGCAGGCGCCAGCACAGCTGCAAAGCTTCGCCTGACACCTGCCGCCACCTGTTCTCTGATGCTTCTTTCTATGCGTCCACAACTTTGGTCCCTACTCATGCTACTCACGAGCTGACGGATCTTGCTTACTGTCAACGGATGTAGACACAATTTCATTTCGCGGTCATTCAACCCGAATCATGCTCCAGTGCGGTTGTTTATTTTGACCCCCCCCCTTAAGTGACTGTGGCCACCTTTTACCTAATCCCACGTGCACACATCGTCACCGCCTCCTCGTCGCACCCCGCGGCTCAGTGTCTTGTCACTCTCCCATCTCGATTCATCTCACGCATCTCACACCCGAACGTCAATAAGCACCAGCGATGGAAGAGGACGGGTTCCACTCAATATCTTGGGACGACGCGCCCCCGCGCGCCGGCTTCGCTGATATGTCGGGCGTTGGCGAGGACGATGATGACGGCTTCGACAAGATCAACCCTTCCTCGCCTGACGAGCACTTTGGCGCTGCGAGCACGAGTACCGTGCGCCCCCAAGACACGCCGACGCGGCGCCTTGCATTCGAGCCGGGAGACTACGAATGGGACGGACGCTGGATGTCCATCGTTGTGAAGGACCCAGTTAAGGAGCATGAGGGCAGCAAGGACATGTTTGTGTCATATGCCGTGCAGACGAGGGTACGTCGTCTTCGCCCAGGAGCAAGATGACACAACTGACCGCAGACGAACCTCAAGACGTTCAAGGAGTCGCCCACGACTGTCCGCCGCCGATTCCAGGACTTTGCCTTCCTTCACGACCACCTTCTGAAGAGCTTCCCGGCTTGTGTCATTCCGCCCATCCCCGACAAGCATCGCTTGGGTGAGTTGGCTGACGCGCGATGCGCGAACTGTGTGAAAGAGTGCCGTGGCAGTCGTGGGAAGGGAGTGCGATTGGGAGAGAGGTGCGGTCGCTGGTAGGGGCGTCTGAGACGGCACAGCAGAGCAGCGCGAGGGCAACACTGTGGTCCGCAGCAGCATCACACGGGGTTGACTCGTCGTCGATCGTCGCCCAGCTTCTTATGAAGTTGATCCCCTTATTCTACGTCGCTGCGCCATCGCGTCAAACCGACCCATCTAACGAGATGTGACGTGGAGTGCACGCATGAGCAGCCGATGAGGTTCGAGCGCGCGGCGTCACCTTTCTCTGCCGAGACAGTGCTGTTTTTCCCACCTCCAGCTTTATGTGCTGACTTGTACAGAATACATCAAGGGTGACCGTTTCTCTCCCGAGTTTGTGGAAAAGCGCCGGATGGAGTATGTGTACAGCGCGCGGGCGTCCGAGCGTTTCTCGCTGACTGGCAGCCTGCAGCGCTTCGCAGACCGTATCGCCAATCACCCAACACTTCAACGCAGCCAACTCGTGGCCGACTTCCTCCAGAGTCACCAATGGGTGCGTGCTGTTTGAGGTTGATGTGACCATATTGACGACAGAACGTGGCCAAGCATTCCCATCTCGCTCACCCTCCGCCCGAGTCTCACACCTCGATGCTCGAGTCGCTCAGCGACTCGATTGTGAACGCCTTCACTCGCGTGCGCAAGCCGGACGCCCGTTTTGTCGAGATGAACGAAGAGCTGGAGCGCTTTGAGGAGGGCATGGGGCAGATCGAGAAACTCGTGGCACGAAGCAAGAATCGCGAGGAAGGTACACAAGGTGTCTGGCTGTCATATGCTGACGACCAGATCTGGCGAACGACTATCAGGACATGGCAGCGGCGTACCAGGGCTTGGGTTACCTCGAGTCGGGGATCACCGAGCCCCTCAACCGCTTCGCGGAGAAGATGCTCGACTTTTCAACATATCTGAAGCACCAGGTTAGAAGGACAGTTTTGACACTTTGTGCTCATCATTAGAACCAGGCGTCCGTCGATCCCTTCCTCATCCAAACACATTCGCTTCTGGCATATGCCGGCGCACATCGTCAAACCATAAAGCTGCGGGACCAAAAGCAGACAGACTTTGAGGAGCTGTCAGCTTACCTCTCGGCCGTTGTGGGCGAGCGCGACCGCCTCGCGGCTCTGAGCTCCGGATACGCGGGAGCCCCAGTCGGGCTCGGAACCTACCTCCGAGATCAGGTGGACAAGTTGCGCGGGACAGACGACATTCACACGCGACGCGAACGAATGCGCAAGCTCGACGGAAGGATCAAGGAGGTGAGTGGCTCTCCGGACGCGTCTGGCTTTGCTGCCTCGGGGTTGAGGAGGGCATGTGCAGTCGGATCGTGAGCGGCGTTGGATCCGCGTTGCTCAGCAAGAGCGGCGTCGGGCCGCATCACCGCTGCCCCATTGCGGATTGCCGTGGTGCCCGTGGTGATGATCGGATGTGCCTGAGATGCTTGGCATGATTCCATGGTCAGCCGGCGGTCGGACATTCGTTGGCGATCTTAGCCATGCCTTGGAAATCTCGGATCGACCGGAAGCCAGTTTGTCGCCTGCAATCCTAGTGATTTGGCGGTCTCGGGCGAGCGACTGTGCGTCTCGGGCAAAGCACCGGCGGAGCTTGGGCAAGCCCCACGGGGTCTCCAGGGCGTTTCGCGGAGTTAGCCTGCATACAATGACGGTGCCCACCGCCCGAGCAGAGCGGATGCAGCGCTCGATGGCCTCGAACACGGCCCTACTAGTTCTGGATGGCAGACTCCAGCATGCGCCTCGCGCATTCCTCTGGAAGATCTGCAGGGACAGGCGGGCAGATTTCATCCGGGCGATTAAGCGAGATGGCCTGTCGGAGACGGTTTCTCGTCATGTGCGGCGGTCTGGCTCCGCCTCGCGCAGTCTGTTCCTGCGTAGCTCGGCAGAGTTGGCGATCCGAGATAATCCGCAATATGGCACAAGGGTCGTCGGATTACAATCGTGGCGGTCCCACTGGCAATTGGTGCGGGGATGTTCCACAGACGTCTTCCGATGACTAGTACCATTTGACCCATCACCCGTCGCGCAACGCTCGAGGCCGCTTCCCGATTCATCCTAAGATGTGTGGGAGAGTGGCTTCGAGCTCTCCAGGCCATCATCGGAAGAATTGACACTTTTGTCCCCCCCTCTGCCTATTCTTCTGCGAGCTGAGCACGGAGCCTGAACCCCCCTTCATCTGACAATGCCCTCCGAGCGGAGTGCTAATGCCCAGCTTCAGGAGGCCGTCACTGCCGCTCACGAGACATCGACAGCATTCTCAGATGAGGTCATCAAAGAGCACACCGTGTTTGAGCTGTCCAAGCAGCAAGAAATGAAGGAGATGCTCGGCCGCTACGCCGATGGACAGGTGGAGATGCTTCAGCGCGCCATGGACGAGTGGGACCGGGTGAGTACGCTGGGGTTGGGGCGACGCTACGCCCGTCGGTAAAATCGGAAGCGTCCATGGCGTCGAGCGTGAGGATCTTCATTATTGACGTCAGATCATCCCCCTTCTCCAGCGCATTCGGGTCGATGTTTAGTCGCCGTCTCCGACGCTAGCCACGGACGTTGTAGACCGTCGCCGTGGGGACGCCGAGTAGTTCAGCCACAACCATCGTTTTTTTCGGCTAGAGAGCGGCGTTAAGCGCCGGCGGTAGCGCTCTGCAGTAGCATGCATGTTGTAGCTGTGCGGGGAAGCATGTGGAGGAGGCGACGAGTGCGTTGACGAGGAGTTGGGACATTGTCACTGCAGGCAGCACCGCGTTCCGGTCGGGCCAGACCAGGTACCCGGGGGGGAGGTGTGGCAGATATCTCGTGTGTAATACTGGGAGATCACCCACGCGTCACGTCGCCAGGTCTTGTTGCGACACAATGGCAGACCAGGTGCCGGAAGGGGTAGAGGTAGGCAAATGGAAGGGTCATCGGGATGCGGGTCACGAAGAGGATGAGAAGCAACATCAGATAGTGGGGCAGGGTGAGGTGCGTGACATGCCCATCACTTGCCGAAGCGGCACGGGAGGAACTCTGAAGTTTTCACTCTTTGACGATCGGGCGACAACGGCGGACCGCAGAGCCGAATCGTAAGGTCAATCGGCGGAAGAGCGCCGTCGCCGACCTGCCGTCACCGGCCCCCGTTTACATCGACGCCGAGATAACGATGTCGATCAAATTCACCCGTTCTAACACCGCGACAAACATGTCCCGCAAGTCTAAAAGTTGGTCTTTAGTCGCTATCGGGGTAGCATGGCGCTGCCACAATGGGCGCGCACAATGGGAGGTGTGCCACATTAGGAGCGTGCGAGAAGCCCGCCACGTTCGACACGCCATCTGTTATCTGTATTTTCATAGGTCGCGGTAATGACGCACGCTAGTTGCACGCGGCGACTGATGATACCAGATTTTTGGCGACTCGAGAAGTCGCTATTGGACTGAATGCGAGTCTTCGGGGTCGGTGGGCCGTCTATGACGTCGAGAGTCTGGACTCGGTCGCGGTCGGCGCGACCGTCGAATGACGCTGCACACCGCGCCGTGTTCCTCGCGCTCGTGCCAGTCCGTGACTGCAGGCGCTTGCAGTGACGTCCTCACGGCCTAACGGTCGTTTCAGTTTAGCAGATTTGGGTTTATCAGATAGATACCGATGGCCTGATGGGACCCTGCGTTAGCTCGGAAGGCTTAGGCTGCGGAACTTTGACCACCGTTGAGCGTTGGCCGCGATGTGCGGCTGTCGTTGACGCCATTTGGTCCTTGACTCTTGGACCATGAAACAGGGCCGAGAGCAAGATGGTATGAGCGACACGAGGAACAGTAGTCGGCCAAGTGGCTGGGCCCGTTACTTTCGCGGCATGGCAGCCTTTGAAGGGTCACTGTTGTACCGTTGAGACCATGGGCATCGCGGCTTGTCGGATGCCGTCATCTTCGGTCAAGACGCCTGCGCTCCGAGTGTGAAGGGTTGCTCGCTGCAACACGTCACTCTCGTATTTCCTGTGATCGTATGCAGCGTTGCTCTGCGATCTGCGAAGCCAACGTCCTTTGGGTGAAAATGCACGCTGCAGCACAACATGCCGTTGGGGGGAGGGACGAAGGATCGTCGTCGCTGATGTCACGGCTGACACGTGAAGGCACGAGGCTGGATCGCGATCGGCCAGATCTCGGAAGCAGAGTGGGGACGGTTGCTGGATCGCTGGATCGTGGGTTACGGGTCAGTCACAGTCCGTCCGTGTTCTCGTGGGGTCACGCTCGTCCGACAGGCCGACGACCGGCTGCGTCGGTGTATCAAAGGAGTCCGAGGGTCGACGTCGGCGCACGTCTATTGTTCGGCCTCGTGGGCCAGCGTGTCCGTGCGAACGCGAACAAAGGCACAGCGTTTCGGACTCGCTTCGCACCGCGACGAGGGTCACGGACAATGGCTGGCGGTCACCAGGGTGTCATGGTGACAAGCGGACTAGTGCGTCTTGCCTGATGGCTTGCATGGCAGGACCGCTTCTGAGAGGGCGACGGAGACAGCCTCCTGATCCGACAAAGAGTGCAGCTTTTCGACAAATAGTCAGGTCACCGAGACGGTGCGAGCGAGGCGGCGCCCTGTCCTCGGCCGACACCTTGAATGTCGGGCGTCGGACGTCGGGCGTGAGGCGCGAGGCGCGAGGCGTGAGGCATCAGCCGGCGTCGGGCGCTTACTCGTCTGTCGCGTAAGCCGCACTTCTTCGCGCTCGTATGCATCGATCGCGGATCGCTTGGTCGAAGCGAACATCGCAACCCCGATCTGCACAGGCCGTCCGCTAACCCAGCTTGCCCTTTTTCTCACGCGATCCGCGATCCGCACGCCACCGCAGTGGCATGTAACGCACACGACCTCATCCATCAGGCGATCAGGCGATCTGACCAGATCATGACATCCCTCCTCGCACGCTCGCACGGTTGTCGCGATCCGTTGGATGTCGCCGATCGACAATTTTCCATCACAGATGCGCCCACGCCACATGACGCCACATGCCGCGCACACGCCATGCAACCATGCCAGTTCCCCTCGCGTCAGAGTTCCAGAGTGTCCGACAGATGCGATGGGTTTTGGTCCGTACTCCGTGTGATCTGTCCGCCGGTGATCCGGTGAGTCTCACGGATCACGGATGACGGGCGGGCGCGGAGATTTGATCATTTTCCGGCGCAGCGCCGGAGGTTTGGAGAACCCAAGACCTGCGTGTCAATGATGGTTTTCCCACACACGTGCCCCGGTTCCATGTCGCCAGACGCCAGACGTCAGACGTCAGACGGCCAGACGGACAGACGGTTGGCGGCTGGCGGCTGGCGGCTGGCGAGGGTCGCGTCATGCGATGCTGGCTCGCACCAGCCAGCCTCGCAGCCTCGCAGCCTCTTGATCCCCAGATCCGGCGAACGTGTGCCAGCCGGATATCGGGATGTCCGCGGGCGATAAACGTGCGATGCACGTGTCAGGCTGGTCCAAACTCTTTGAGCATCAAGCGCATCCGACTTGTGCGACTCTGCTACACCAGTCAGTGCCCATGGCTTTGTGCTGCTTGGGCTATCAACGTGGGTGGGCGGGGCCCGGTGGAACCGTCTGGAATAGTGGCTGCGGCGCCGGCCAGCTGGAGGCCATAGTGGCCTGACTATAGAGACCTGCGGAGGCCTACTGAGGCCGAACCCGTGGCCGTGGGGAGGCTACCACGTCATGTGCATGTGACTGCTTGTCCTCGTCTATTGTCAGTCTCAGGCGTGCGTTGCATGCCGGAAGGCGTACGTGGGCTATGGGGGGACGTTCCTGCGGCACCGATTCCGCAGGTCGACAGATGCGGGGTGCAGGGGTGCGGACAGGATTGGCGCCCTCCTCGGCTGTGGAGCGCAGCTCTATGATGTAGTAGCAAGGACGTGCCCTCGTCATCTCGCACAAGGATGAGGCATGCTCGTCAGTAGCTTAGCAATGATTCCGCTTGTCCGCAGCGAAGGGAGGGATCGGAACGACGGAGAAGAGGACGCGAAAATAAACACCGTGTGAGGACTGGGGGACATGACGCCGAGTGGGCAAGTGGGGGAGTGGGGCATGTCATGCCGGACACGGATCTGCCAGAGTGTACCGCGCAAAGGTGAGGGGTATTCCGCACCGTGTGCGAAATAATGGTCAAACCCCATTCCTGAGGCGGGCATGTTCGCACTAGACCTCGACGAGGTGCAGCATGCCAAAGTCGTCGGACCCGCTTGCATCCGAGCGCACGCGCGATCACCTCGGCCGCTTGGGGTCGGGGTCGGGGATCGCCGGGGTCGAGGTGGGTATGCATTCTGCAACACGGACGACGAGCCGCGGCCTGACGAGACTGATCGGGGGATCCGGGGGTTAGGGGGGACAAGACGGGCGTGCGGGCGTGCGGGCGTGACGGTCACCCGGCGCCAGGAGGACGCGTAGAGTTATTGCCCGCACCCCTACTGTGCGGGGTCTCAAGCTCGCTTCGCTTGCGGATTGCAGGCCTGCAGAATCGCAGAAAGTCTGCTCGCTGGCACGGCGCAGCACGTTAGCACGTTGGCACGGTCGGGCACAGGCACGGTAAGAGGTCAAGTTGTCAGAGGATGAGCAAGGTTGCGGCATGTCGTGGATAGGTGTTTTGGTTGGTGGGGAGAATGAGGATCCAAGGAGGACAAGTCCCTCCCGGGTGAAATGAAGGCGGGTGGCGCGCGGGCGCGGGGGCGGGGGCGGGGAATAGAGGATTAAGCGGGCGGGTGCGGGATAGCGGCGACGGCTTCAGCATTGGAGGCGTGAGCTGTTGCTCATTCTAAGTTCTGTCTGCGCTGCATGAGCCGCTCGCGGATCGCGGAACGAGTAAGAAGGACGCCTGCCTGACATTGCTGCTTGCCACAAACACTGAGGGCTAAGAGCTAAGATGACTTGGCAAAGTCCGAGAGCACTACAGGATGGATTAGAAAATGTGTTGATGACGAGCTAAGGACACGGTAGTCAGGCTAATTGCAGGTTATTCAGGGAGTTATTAGTCCCAGTGACGTCGGACAACAAGTGGAGGGGCTCAACAAGGGGAGGAGGGCGCAGGAGGGCGCAGGGGGGAGGGCGCTCAGGTGGACAAGCGATACTCTCCGTCCTCTGCCGCCCTGGCAACCCAGCACCGGCAGCGGAAGTCTTTCCCTGGTACCTGAATCCTGGCCTGCAATCACTCGATGCCTCAACATTCTCGAGCACTCTGGCACTGTGATACTGTGACGCGCTCCATCCTCGGCTCCCGGCACCCCGCCGACGGGCAGAGGAGTGGGGGGGTAGGAAGGCCGAGGGGCTGTAGTAATCGATGAAGGGGCTACGCATGCAGACTGGCCCGCGACCCAGAAGATCGGAGGAAAGGAGGGCAGGGTTGCGACCGCGGGCACGACATTCTGACCGCACAGCGCAAGATCGGCATCGCCTTTTGGCCTCTTGGGTCTCGTCTCGTGCCTTGCTCGCTCGTCCGTCGCGCGCTGCCGCAAAGTCCATCTTTGATCTTTGAGGATTTCTCGGTCCCCGGTGGCCCGGTGGCCACGGCTGCAGCGGCAAAAGCTTTGCAAGAAAGACGACAACACGACTCGTGTCCCCCAGCCGCAGCACATCATTGCCGTGACTCATTGCGACAAAGTGCTCGTTCTAGTCCTCGTCTGACTCGACACTCGACCATCTTTTTTATCGATAGCACTATCTGCCTCCTCTCATCAATCTCAGCCTACCTCTTAATATTCCTATCGCCATTGCCCTGTCCTATACTGTGAGCAATCCTCAACGACTACTGGGTGAGTTTTGCCGTGCGCTCCAAATGCCCTCCACCTCCCCCTACCCCTCCCCCTCCCCAATTGAACTCTGGCTGGCGTGACACGTTCGCACGTTTTCGCCAAGCACGGGACCCGCGGGCTGCAAAAAGTATTGGACCATTCCAACCAGCACGCACGCTGCACCCTACGCACGGTCGAGCTCGCGCTTTGCAGCTTGCACGATCGAACGCGTGCATTCATGCCAGCATGGCAGCATTAGAGAAAGAGAAAAGAAAAAAAAGAAAAAAACCTCTGGACCCTGTGCATGTGTGTGACAACAGTCACAACCGAGTCACACACAGACACACACACACCGGTTTGGTAGGCATTACCGTCTACGGCCACCGTACACGGTCCTCGCCGAGGTTCGCTCGCGTCGTCCTTTCCTTCAGTAATATCACTAGAGCACTCTCGCTCCCACGCCCCAACCCACACACACATATCTCTCCGCACACTTTTTTTTCTACTCGCTCTCCATCTTCTTCGCACTCGCACTTTGCACTGCATCATAACTCGCCCCCCCCCCCCCCCCCCCCCCCCCCCCCCCCCCTCTCCCCCTCCCTGCCGCCCCCGCCCCCGTCGACAAGGGACTGTGTTTGCTGACTCTGCCTCGCAGCAGCAGTGTCGTCACTTGAATTTTCCCAATCGCCAAGGAGAGTTTTCCTGAATATTCGCTCTCGGCCGACTTGCTGCTGGTACAAGAGTGAAATCGCTCAATCGCTCAATTGCTCAACCCACCTCGGCCACCTCTCCCACCTCTCCCACCCAAATCGACTCGGTCGTCCACCCCCTGCCCTGCCCTGCCCACCCACCCACCCACCCAGGCAGCAGCACGTAGGCCACTGAGCGCAATCACGACAACCCAGGCCATACTCTGGCTCTAGGTACATCTACTCGCTCTACTCAACCTTCCTTCCCCCTCCATCCCTCCCCTCGCCTCCATCACTTTTCTTTGCATCGCACCATCCATCATCACTCAACGCCACCACCCCACCACCCCACCACCCCACCACCCACCACCATCACCTAAAAACACTCTCTCCTCATCCACTACCGCCTTTCATCTCACAAACCACATCCCCTCCACGCGCTTCACGGTTGATCGAATCACTCTCGCCTCACCCTACGGTGCTGGGTTTACCGGTTCACTGTACGTGTCCTGAGTCTACTCAACCAAGCCCTCCACTTTGCTTGACCCCTCCCCTCCCTCCTTCCAATATTCAAGCTAACCTTGCAGCAATCCGCACTCCCCATTGTCTTTCATCTTCCACGCCAACATGTTCGAAGAAGACTTTGAGCGCTGCTTCATCTGCCAGGCTCCCTCCAAGGGCCTCTACTGCTCTCAAGAGTGCAGGCTACAGGACAAGGGTTCAGCCTCCCCGAACACAAAGTCCAACGGTCTCGCACCCGTTCGCCTCACTGCCCAACTTCCTGCTTCCCTCTCACCAGCGGTCCGCCCAACTCACACCATCACCCCGTCACCTATCTTTGGTCGTCCTCGAGGCACCTCGACCTCGTCGTCCTCGCTGTCAGAGTCACCCATCCAGAGCCCGCACACCCTCCCCTCTGGCGGCGACTCGCCGCAAAAGGAAGCTTTCAATCTTCCTCCTCCTGCATACCCTGGCTATGTCGGCAGCGTTCCCATGAAGATCCCAAGCGGTCTTCAAAATCGCGTCACCAGCAACGGATCAGGTAACGGCCACACCAACGGCACCACCACTCCTACAGGCTCTGTTGACACTCTGCGCTTCGGCCGCAAGTCGAGCGTGACAAATTCTGTGACCTCGCCTCTCGCACTCGCCCCACGATGTGGCTGTGGTCGCGCCCTGGGCCACAGGAATCGTAGCCTTCCTGGCGACGAGCTCAATTTTGCCTGCCTCAACGTTGGCCCCGGCGGTGCCCCCGATGCCGACGTCAATGTCCTCCGCCTCGTCTCCGATCCTATCCACCGTACACCCAACCTCGCCTGCCCACCGCTCCCAGAAGATCGTTCAATCTCACACGTTCTCGGCTCGTCTCTTCTGCTCTCGCGCTCGCGCTCCGACCCACACCACCCTCCGTCACCCCGCACAGCTCGTCCCCACGGAAACGAGAGCGCCAAGACGGGCGGCAGCATCCACCCCCGCCCTGCACTCGAAGTCTCGCTTGGCGCTACGCCCCCCGAGCGCGCACAGCTGCCTTCGGTCGCGCCCCTTCGTGGCGTCCGCAGTCGCTCTGCCGCACCCTCCGCCCAGTCGCGCCGTGAGCATGCGCCCGCCGCCGAGGACAGCCGTGGCCGCAGCCGCGAGCGTGTCGAGCGCATCGAAGTCAACCCAGAGCTCGTCCCCCAGCTCGGCATGTACCACGAGGAACGCGAGGTTGCTCCCACTCGCGTCGGTCGCTCTCGTGGCCGCGACATGAGCCGCTCTGGAGAACGTGAGGGCCGTTCGCGTTCGCGCCCGATGCGCGACGCCGTCTACCCTGCTCCAATGCGCGGTCGCACCGCCGGCATTGCTGCATAGCGATGAAGGCAGTGTTTTCTGCCTCAGCCAGCCGGCCAGCCAGCCAGGTAGCCATCCAGCCCACCCGCCCCTCGAAAGCCAGCGCCTCGTTGCCCGTGCACATCACTCCACCGCCAAGAATCGTCTCAAATTGCATGTCTCCACAACTGTCATAACATTCCATGTCCCATCATCCGTACCAATGTTCACATAGTCATCACACCACTGCATGCATCATTGCCGCATCCCCGAGTAGTCGAGCCGGTCACGGGTTACAAGTAGCGAAGAGCGAGGCGCGAGTGGCGAGGGAGGAGAACCGAAAGCACCCGCCCCAACTGCGCTGACCAACCTTGCTTGGCCTTCGCCTTCGGAGCGAGGAACCACTCGGTGTTCGCTGTGAGGCTCACGTATCATCCCATCGGGACATTGTGCAGCCGTCAGCCGTCACATGACAGCGCGTGGCGTCCGTGCGCGTGTATTCAGAGTCGTTGTTCGCCTCAATGCGCCCCTGGCCCGTGCGCCCTGCTTGCCCACCAGACGATCCGGGGAAGGGGCGGCCAACAGCGGTATGTAGCTCTGTGGCATTGTCAGGTTGTTCGCCCCACCGCCCACGATGTCAACAATGGATTGCACCGGGGCGAGCGCGCGCCGCGAAAGCAAGCTCTCCAGCCATCCAGCCATTGTTCCTCGGTTCCGCTTCTCTGCTTTGGTTATATGCCTTGTAGCCTTCTGGCCTTCTGTATGCTTCGACGGCGATCGTGTCGGCCCCCGATCAATCGAGACAAGGTCTTCGACCCAAGACCACACACCACACACCGCCTGAGACAAACTTTTCTCCATTTTTTTGCCGTGCGGAATGCTCCCACCAAACCATGCCAGCCTCAGGCCTGAGAGCTTGGCCTGGGGACCTCGGGGCCTCGGGGCCTCGGGGCCTCGGAGCATCAAGGCCTCTGAGACCGGCCATCATTAAGCCAAGCATCCCACGCGACGCTGCAAGAATTAACTGCTGTCTCAGAACCAGAGTACTGGCCGACACGCCCGATATCTCCTGCTGCGTTCCCACGCGGCGCTCTGCCTGATCACCTGGACACCTGATGGCCTGATGGACACTGGGAACTGGCATGAGGGGGGGCTGACGGGCTGGCTGACGTGCTTGTCTGCGGCCGCACCGCACAGCTCGTCCGTTTTTACGGCACTCGATAGTTCCTGGTCTCCCCCACTTATCAGATATTCGCGTCGCCGCACTACCCCCCGCCAGCCACGTCAGAGGTGTGGCACCGTTCCTGCGCCTCTTTTGCTTCTGCACGTGCCATCCACTGCCTCCGGCGCCGGCGGGCCTGCTCCCACAGCAGCGGGCCCGTTCCCATTGGCTGTCGTATTCGTGGAGCAGTGGAGCGGAACGCTTCCGCGGTCGTCCGTGATGCACTCGTACTTCCCCTTCCCAATTTTGAGAAGGACGTGCGACGCAGTGTGGGGCGGACAGCCGCTCGGCGACGCACAGTCCCAACCCGGGTCCGACGAGTCTGGACTGTGCCCTGCTGAAACTCGTGTCCGGGCCGCCGGCCCTGCGGACCTCGGACCTGGCCAGTTACGCACGGCCAACAATGAAACATGCGTATGGGAGGCACGGCGGTGCGACGTGGGAGACGGTCGCGTCCCATACGGCCATACGGCTGCAGTGGCGCACGCCATCCGACGCTCGTCGGATGCAAATCCGCTCGGATAATGCACGCTGCACAGCCAGTTGGCTGCTTCGCCTCTCGAGCGGGTATTCCACTCGCGATGCAGAGCTCCACATTGGGCGTTCGGCTGGGATCTTATTGTTCTCGGGCGCACCCGGTCCGCCAATGACCTCTGGCTGCGCCGAGCTGGTCGCGGGGCCGGAGACGGGTCGGAGCGCATCGGCGCCGCGTCGACGGACAATGCACGTTCGTCCCGATACATGTGCGTCAGCGATGGAGTGGAGTGTGGCGGGCATGAGGCGTGCGCAGTCATGTGGGCGGTGGATTGGGGGCGTGTGGCGGGGGCATGTGGCGGATCGCCGCATCATCATGACGATCGCTCTGGCGATCTCCGCGAGGGCAGATCGGCTCCAGTGACTCCGGATGGCATTAAATGTGCAGCTCTACGCACACGCAGCTGGACAGCCTATACAAGGACATTGGGCGTCTCGTTTGGCATGCAGATATTGCTGCAGACGTTGTCGGTGATCTGTGACGATGTACGTCACGTGACCGACGACTGAGTGAGAATGTTCTAGTTCACAATGCGATAATAAAGCAACAGAGGCAAGAAGCAACCACCCCGCCGACTTGGTCGAGCTGGTTACTTCTGAGAGACCGAGTGTGCTTGAGATTACGCGACCTTATCACCTGACGCTGGTATCAGTTGACGCGGGCCGCCATCACACGATAGGCGTAGGTGTCATCCTCCAGCGCCATCTTACATGATAGCCCAGTGTCATTCTCACGGGTGGCGTCGTTCTCTCTTAGCTGACAAAGACTTGCCGAGGTGTTTGCTCAAATAATTCGCCTCCGCCTATGCATGCGCGTCGTGTCAATAACATTGTGCGAACCTAGGTAGAGGTAAACACTTGACATGTTGTCATATGCAAGAGTGCCACGGTAAGACGAGATGTCTGCTGTGACTGACAGACAAGTGTTGGCCACAACCCCTGATTGCCCTGGAAGTCCTTGACTTGTCGTGGCACAAGTTGGGGTCATCGACTGGATGTGGCACTTGGCTCGCCCTGAATTCGTCGCTGAGAAATAACTCAGTTGCCGAGTATCTGAAGTCAGTTGCTGGGTATCTCGCGAAGCTCAAGACTTCTCTTGAATGCGCGGTACACGGATTGCGCTGGAGTCTGTCGCCGAGTAGTGTTCTGATGTTAGTCGCTGATTATCCGAAGTCAGTTGTAGGGGTACCTTGAAAGCTCAAGACTGCCGTCAAAACCGCCCGCTATTGTTACTACACTGCATTCTCAACTCAAGACTTCTGTATTATGAAAATAGGCCACTCATATGGGAGCGGGTCGAATTAATTATTATTACTGGCGTTTAGGCAGTAGGCGAAGCGGCGGGAGACATCGACGACGAGGTGTGGTCCGCGGTGTTCTCCCAGGCGCTGTTGAGGGCGAAGACGTGCGCCTCAACGTTGGTGCCCTCGGGAACGTCGGCCCAGAGACCAACCTGCGACAGCGAAGCGTTCGAGTAGAAGAGGTTGGTGGCAACAGCCTTGCCGCTGTCAACGTAGGTCTCGAGGATGGTGCGGTCGACAAGAGCGGCGACAGTCATGTGGTTGCCCTCGGGCTTGTACATGCCGGTGATGTCCTCGGTGTAGCCCTCGGTCTTGAAGGGGCCGACCTTGCCGCGGCGGATCCAGGCAGTGCCGTCGAACTTGTAGCCGCTCTCGAGCCACTCCTTCTTGTCGGCGCTGTAGAAGGTCCAGTTAACAGAGTGGTCGGGGGTGGCGCCCTCAATGTTGGTGATGTTGAGGAGGACCATCATGGCGCGGGAAGTAGCAGCGGTACCGTCGAAAGTGTAGTCGATCTTGCCCTTGTCGCTAACAACGGTGGCGACCTGCGAGCCGATGACGGGGGCGGGGTTAAGAGGCTCCTGAGCGAGAACGTGGCCGGCCGAAGAGTTGGACATGGAAAGAACACGGGGGACAGTCATAGTGCCGCGCCACCACTCGAGGTCACCGGTAGGAACCTTGTCGGCGTAGGCCCAGTTGGCAGCGAGAGTCATGTAAACCGTAGTGTTGCCGTCGACGAAAGCAGCGCCGCCGTAGCCGTCCGGTCCCCACTCCATGGGCTTGGGAGTAAGGCTCTCAGGAGCGAAGACAGTGCCGTTGAAGTCACCAGCCCAGTAAACGTTGGGGCCGGTCATGTTGGAGGCGATGAGGGCCCACTTGTCGTCGACCTTGGTGAGGAGGGGCGAAGTGACCTCGCCAGTAGGGATCTCCTGCGAGAGGGTCCAGGTCTTCAGGTCGGTAGAGGTGTGGATCTCAACCTTGCCGTTGTAGACAACCGACATGACCCACCAGTCCTGGTAGCGGACGACGCGGGGGTCGCGCCTCTCGGGGGCGACGGTGGTGCCCTGGGGAGTGAAGCGCTGGCCGTCGAGGCTGGTAGCGAGCTGAACACCGCTGGAGGTGCCGTAGACCGCGACGAGGTTCTCGCCAGTGCCGTTGCCGAAGAGGCCGGAAGAGTTGGAGGGGTCGCTCACGACGCAGCCGGTGCCGACAGAAGTCTCGCCCTCAGTGGGGAAGAGCGCAACCGGCTGGTTCTCCCACTTGTAGCCGTCCTTGGTGGTCGCGTGGCCCCAGTGCTCGCCGCCGGAGGAAGCGTTGGTTGGGTTGTCTGATGTCAGCCAAAGTCGCTTCTAAAAATGTAGAGAATACTCACACTGGTAGAACAGGTGCCAGGTGCCGGTGCTGTCCTTGATGAAGGCATTGGGCTCACCCATGTAACCCTGGTTGTCAGAGATGCTCCGACTGTGCGACTCACGATGGGGGGCGTGTAGTGGACCTGAGGGCGGTGGAAGCCAGTGTAGTCTCCCTGGATCGGAGTGTCGAGGGAGGTGGGGGTCGGGAATGGCTTGGCGCCAGAGTCAGTGCCGCTGGCAGCAGGCTGGGTGTGGGTGCCGTCAGCCGAGGGCTGGGCGCCGCCGGAGTGCGACTGGCTGTTGGGAGCAGGCGTCGCCATCACCTGAGGGAGGGTGACGGTCGCGACCGAACCGTCGGGGTTGGTGACCGTCGCCTCAACAGCCGTGACGCCGGAGGGAAGCTGGCGGCGCCAGGGAGCGGCGTCGGCGGGGAGGACCGCGATAGCGAGAAGGGCAGCGAAGAGATGCTTCATTGTTGGTGGGGGAGGGGGGGGCGGGGGACCGGTGGGGGTGAGTGGGGAGGGGCTGTGGGGAGGAGTGGTGGGAGTCGAGTGGCTGTTGCTGGATGGGGATGTCGAGCAGCGGCGAGCTGCTTATAAGTGTTCCGGGACCGTATGTCGCATCGTGGTCTAGGAAATTCGAGAGAAGGCCAAGTCAGTAGACAACAGTAGTCGCGACACCGCATGCTGCGCTAGGCTCCACTGTGGAGCAGCGTTTGGGTGGACAGATGGGCCCTCCACTGAACTCTAGGCTCGGCCATCGTCATAGGCGTTATTTTCCTTGAGTCTTCGGCGGGGGCTGGCCCCGAGCGCCGCTACCCGCATGCAAGGGCGGGATCTGCTCTCGGACCCCTGCGCAGCGCCGGTGTCCCTCGTCTGATCGCCTAGGCTGGACGTCATCGCAGCAAGTGCCGCCGCTGGGCGACTGGCTGTAGGGAGCGGAGTACTAGTAAAAACTCGTCATAATGAGGAATGCCTGATCGCAGCGACAGGCACGGCCCGCGCCTAGGCTGGGGGATGGGTGGTCGCAGCTACTTCCGACTCTTCCTCTGCCCTCATGGCAGGACATGCCCGCCGGCCTGCTGCGCCTGGTGATCTGCAGCAAGTTTCCAGCTCCCCTGGTGGCACACGACCCTGCCCAGCTGCCCAGCAGCCGGCAGCCTGCTGCGCTGGTAAACGAGGCGTTCCTAACGTCTCAAGACCAACCGGATCTGGTTCCGACAAGTTCATTGAGAAATCTCCGGACAACCTGAGACGGACCTGGCAAAAGTCAGATCTGCCTCCGCAGTCATTAGAATGAGCATCTGAGTGCATTCGCACCTCTTTCGTGTCGTCAGCATTTTAGCATGGTCTTGGCAAGTCATTTTGATGCTCGCTCCACTTGTCACGCCCTACGCCGGCAAAACTTGGCGCATGCACGTTCACCCACGCCCACACCCACACCCACACCTGCATCGTTCATCGTTCTCGGGGCAGTGGTGCCTACGTCGTGCCGCGCTCATCATGGATCGGCTTGCTGATCCTCCACCCTGATCCAGTCTCGGAGTGCATGCTAACACCTTGGGCCACGCTCCGCAAAAATAGTCCGCTGCCCTATTTTGCGACTGTCAATCGTAAGCTTGAGAGCCTCAGTAGCATGCAGCCTCGCGTGCTGCAGATGTCAGCTTGATCGGACCACGAGGCAGTGATCCGCAGCCCACGGAAACGTCTCGCGTGGCTTCTGTGAAGGTCCGCAGTCTCGTACGCCATGAGAGAATTACCCGTTGGTGCGAGGTGACTAGCCCAAAGCAGCTTCTCGCCGCTTACTCATGTCGCCGCTGTCCCAGCTCGCCCTGCGATCCTGCGGCGAAGCTCGCAGCCTGCTGACGGCGAATGGGGATGCACTACGCCGATGACATCGTGCAGCCACCCATGCGCGGATCACGGCTCTCGCGTGATGGGCATAGGCCGGCCTGGTCTCTGGGCCAAGACATCCTCCTGCCGTGGCTTGGCTGCGCGCCAGAAAAAGTCTGCGAGTAGGAATCCCGGCCAATCTGATAACATCGTGGTTTCCAGCCGGATGGCGCAGCTGTGCACCGCCACGGGGGACGGCTGCGGATGAGCCGTGCTGAGGGAAGTGCTCCCCTCGCGGCTGCCATCTGTGGCCCAGAGTTTATCGCCGAGTGGCTGATGACGCAAGACGGACCGCTAGCCCACCTGCGACTGAGGGGCGAGGTCGAGACCGGCGTCGTCCATCAGCATGCCTTCCGATCCAATGGCGGAACGGCATTCCCGGATCATCTGGGGATTGCCGAAGGGTAGCTGATGGGCAGGAGGACGCGGCGGTCGATGACATCGTGCCCACTGCGGATGGTGCCCTACCGTCCGCCGAGGTGACTGGCAAAGGAGGCCCGTTCCAGAAGCCGAGATTCCTGTGGTGGCGGCCGGCTGCGGACCGATACTTTGCGGCTTGGCGTAGCAGGTGGCTGATGACATCGTGCCCAGCATATCGCAGCTCCCAAATCGCACACTATAGGTCGGGGAAAACTCAAACTCGGCAACTTTCTTGGCGGCCAAGTTGAGCAGCCTAAGACTTTGTTTGGTATGATCATATCGCGCAAAAGGGCCGAATGCAATTGAGTCGGAGGCGAGTTGCAGCTGCGATGATCGCATGGAGACATGCCCGGCATGCATTTTGTGGTGGTACATGTGTACAACGGGTTGGAGGCGTGCTCGGATCCGTCCGATACAACCCAAAAAGAAGAGTCCAAGAGGTATGGCGTCGCGTCTCTATCCGACAAAGTCCGTCGATCCGTGGTCATCCTACAACGTCGGCTGCGTCTTATGCAGCCATCGCCGTCGCCAAGCTGCCGAAAGCTCACTGTTCACCGTGAGACGTGGCCATGTCCGTGGTGCCCAGGGCGCGAACCGCTCGCTGCGCGCTCCTCTACTTTGCGCGATTGACACTCGTGGTGCTAGCGTTCGCTGCGCGAAGTTTGGTGCGCAGCGCGTCGTTTTGTTCTTGCGCCAGGTTCATCTCGTCGAGGATGACCATGTGCTGCTCCTGGAAGCGCCGGCGCTCATCCTCATTCTCCTGCTCCATGCGCGAAGCCTGCGTGCGCAGGGTCTCAACTTCGGTCTGAAGATGCGTGAGAGCAGTCGTCTTGGCTGCAAGCTCGGCGGACAGCTGGCTCGTCCGCTGCTGCGCATCACGCAAGCCCGCCAGTGCTCGCTCGAGGTCGCTATTTTCTGACGCAGCAGTCGCTGACCTGTGCGCCATCTGGTCCTGTAGCTCGGCTACTTGATGCTGGTAAGACTCAAGGGCAAGCTGATTGGCGTCGAGCTGTTCTTCAAGGTGATCGACTTGGCGCTTGTACGTCTCGAGCGCCTGCTGGCTGTTCCCAACCAACTTGGCTGCTTTGCTGGCGTTTGCTTTGTGTCGCTCCTTGTCCTTCTCAAGGTTGGCCATTCGCTCCACGAGGATACGCCCGTCGCTCACGACACTACGGATGCGGTCCAGCAGCTGGTCGATCCCGGGGTACTTGTCACTGGCCGGAGGGCCGGCGTAAGCGCGCTGCAGCGCCGCAAAGTTGATGTACGAGTTGGGGGAAACAATGCGAGGGTCGCTCAGTCCGGCATCTCCGGCAGCGGCTGGGGCGGGGAGAACGCTCCATGCCTTGGCGAGGACTTCATTAACGGTAGCGAGCTCGGTTTCCAATTTGGCGACCTTGATTACAAGCTCCGGCGAGCTGATGGGGGTGCCTTCAGCACCAGTGAGCTCCAAGCGCTGCCTAAGCTCCGAAATCTCGGTGTTTTGAGTGCGCATTTTGCGAACAAGTTCCATGTGCTCGTCCTGGGTGCTGCGCTGCGCTGCCGTCGCGACAGCAGCCTCTCGCTTGGCAGTCTCCGCCACGCTCTTCCATTCGTCGCGCTCACTCGAAACCCTCTTGAAGTCGGCGTCGGCACCCTCGTTGGCCGCAACGATGTCCTCGATTTCCTCACGCAGTCTGGCGATATCACGATCGCGTCTGGCCATCTGAGCCGCTGCCTCGTCGATAGCAGAAGCCATGTCCTCCTCGGCAACTGGTGGACGGCCAAGAAGTGCACCAAGGCTGGCACCTATCCGCTCGTGCAAGGCGCGCGTGAGGGATGTTGAAGTCTCGTGCCGCGAAACGAATGACTGCTGCTCCAGGTCGCGGGCGTCCCGCTCCATAACAAAGCCCTCACGCTCTTTGGCAAGACTCTCACGTTCCTTGACGAGATTGTCGCGCTCCTTGAGCAGGCTATCGCACTTGTCGGCGAGCTGACTGCACTTCTTGATGAGGTCGTCACGTTGCATGGCGCTGTCGTCGCGCTCGGCAGCGAGGTCGTCGCGCTCCTGGAAAAGACCATCAAGCTCCAAATTATGCCGCTGCAACATCTCGTCGCGTTCGTTGAGCCACTCTTCGCGATCCTTGGAGAACTGAGCCACAGCACCGTCGAAAGTGGTCGCGTTTTGTTCGAGCGCCCGCTGGTTGCTTTCCAGGACCTGCTCGCGCCGACCGGCTTCCGCGAGCTGCTCTTCCAACGCGTCGATGCGGTCCGTTAGGCGACTGATCTCTTCCTCATGTCCGCGAGACAACGCGGTAAAACCGTCGCGGTCGGCTTCCGTGGTGCGCAGTTGTGCCATAACATTCGCCAACTGGCCCTGGAGAGACGCCAGCTGCTCGTTCTCGCCTCCGCTTTGCGTCTCGAAGACGCGTATCCTGTCGGCGTGAGCGTCCCGCTCAGTCTGAAGCTGGCGCGACCGCTGGGCGTGCGAATCGCGCTCAGACTCAAGGTGGCGGATGAGTTGCACTTGGTCGGCCAGCGATAACTCAAGGGCTTGCGCATGGTTGGCATGCTCGTCACGCTCGGCAGTGAGTTGCGATATACCCTTCGCTTGCGTGTCGCGCTCTGCCTCAACCACATGGAGTTGCTGGGAGAATCGCTGCCGCTGATCTTCCAGAGAGTGATTTTGATCGCGAATGTGAGCCTCAGCTTCTTCGAGACGCCGTGCAAGGTCCTGCTCGCGTCTCCGAAGCGCTTCAACGTCGGGAGTAGCCAGGGCATCGGCACCCAGGCTTCGAGTGCCACCAGTCGCGCCGCTTGCCGCGAGCCGTTGCTCGAGCTCTTGGATCCTCTGCGCGTAATGGAACTCGCGGGTCTGCGCTTCCTCCAGTGCACGCGCTGGTTCGCTTGGTTGCCTGCTCGTCTGGTTCTCACGCCTCTGAAGATGCCTCAATTCGCGTGCAAGCACGCCAGCGTAGTGCTCATTCAAGCGCCTTCGCAACGCAGCCTCACGCTCGCGCACTGGGTGCAATTCCTAGCCGTCAGAACATGAAACGGCGCCTCATACCTTTTCGGCCATATCTACGCGCTCCTGAAGTAATGCCAAGCTTTGAGACGTTGAGTCACGCTTGCTGGTTGTCGAGGAGTCGAGGTGTGCAACCTTTTGTGACATTGCAAGGAATTTGAGCTCACGGTTGTACTTGGCCTCGGCGGCGCGAAGATTGCCCATGACAACAGACAGCTCCTGATGCGTTAGCGTTAGCTTGTGATGCAACTCACCTTCTTCCACCTCTCAGCCTCGTCCCAGGAGACAACGGCCAGCCTCTCACAGTCCAGAGCGGCCTGAGTCGCTAGCAGAGACGTATTGATCTCGTCTGCGCCCATCGGCGGCGCAATGGGCATGTTGGGCAAATGGTGGGCTGTGACATGTGTTTCTCCTGTGCTCATCGGGGACTGACTAATGTCGAGTCCGAGCGAAGAAGCAGAGACACCTGTTTGTGGGCTAGTATTGTTTGTACCAGCGCCAAAGGCACTCTCATTGCTGCCACTCGCGGGATCGTCTGGCGCGCGCCGAATATGCGGTGGCGGGGAATCCAGCGCTTCACGCGCAACGCGCACCTCCTCTCCGAGACCCCGTTGTGACGGTCGTGATCGCAGCTTCCGACTTGGCCGTGGAATTGAGGTAAAGCGATCTTCAGAGGCCGTCGACGAGTATCCCCCATTCTCTCCATAGTCGCTCTCACTGGGAGGGACATTGGCACGTGCGGACCGGCCAAAGGTGTCGTGTATCCGTGAGGACGAATCCTGGGTGAGGACTTCGGATGGGCCCAATGGATCTGCGCCGCGCTGCGTCCTCTGTGGAGGTGGGCTGAAGGCGCTTTGGGGCGTGTGTGACATGCCAGCCGACGGTGTCCCAAAGACAGGGTGTGGGAGGCCGGCGGTCGACGGGCCCGAGGACGATGCGGCATAGGCAAGTCCGGCCGTCGAGGGCGCAGAAGACATGTCGTACGCAAGCTCGACTGTGGAAGTGGTTGGGGAGACGAGGTTGCCAGTACTTTTGGAGGTACTCATGCCCGGGCGCCCCCCAGGCATAGGAGGCAATGCTTTCTGATTTTCATCGGGGGACCGGACACCAAACCGCGCATCGCGAGGAGAAGGCGACGAGCGTGCGGAACTCGATATGCGCGAGAACATGGACTGATTGGGTGACTGCGCGCCCGCACCAACCGAGTCCGACGACATGTTGCGCTTTCGGTACAGTGCCGGGTCGGGAACGGTGACGGGTGGGGGCTTGGCGCCGCGCATGAGAGAGGAGAAGGACGTGCGTGGAGGCGATGGCTCGGTCGATGCTGATGCTGATGCTGATGAGCTAGAGGGCGCGCCGGTGGGGTGTGGAAAGGGAGTGATGACGGGGGGTGGAGACTGGGAGCGGCGCATGCGACTGAGAAAGCTGGCCTTGGGTATCTTTGTGGGCTGTCGCTGCTGCTGGGGCGGCTGAGGGAAGGCGACCTGCGCGCCCCCGCTTCCCCTCATGAGCGCGAAACCTGCCATGCGGGCGCGACGCGTGGGGACAGGAGGGTGGGACGGGGGCGCGGTGGTGGGGCGTGCGGCGCGCTGTTTAAGAACAGACAGTCGAGACGCCGGGGTGGTGCAAGTAGATAAGAAACGGGAAGTGACTGAAGAGAGAAAGTTGGAGTGGGAATGCGAGTGAGCGTGAACGCGTGACATGGACTGGGGGGTGGGGGTGGCAGAGAGGTCATGGCGCTGCGGTGGCAATTCGCGATACCCGTCGCGATTGCCCTGAAACTCCGTTTCCATCCCAGCCAGCACTCTCAACTTCTCAGGGTCATCCGGCTTTTACGCTCAAAACCTCACCCCAAATCAGCCAAGCTACACCCCTCTCCACCCAAGACAAGGCGCGTCCCTGACTCGGCTGGCTCGGCTCACCAGACCGCGTCGAGCAACCGTGTTGCATGCCTGTAGCTCTGCGTCCCGCTGCTTTCTGCACTGAAAAGTGAGAGACTCTTCGTGCAGGATCGTGAACATTTTCTTCCCAAAGTCTGTCAAGCGAGACACTATACTCATTACGACCGTTTCTGCGTTTCTGTGCCGTCGCTCTACCCGACAGCGGGAGTTTGTGAAAGTGCCAGGAAACTATTCATTGTCATCACGTGGAGGACAGGCACGCGGGAACACCAACGAGCCATCAGCTGCTCAACTGTGAATGATGAATAAATGATGGAAGACCCAAGTCATTAGAGTCATGTTCGCTATTTCATACTTGTCGTTGCCGCCTGTTGTCCGAGAACAACTTGTTGTGTAACATATTTTCACTCATCTGATGTGACGCTGATCAGTTGCGTAAGCACGTGTCCGTCCCATCTCAGGTCCACAACGTCCGCTAGACCGCTCCGCTCGTCCGATCAATGCAATCCCTCTCTACTATACGCTGCCGTATGATCTCCTGATCTACCCGATCTACATGTGGTCGTGGGGGTCCTCGCGGGGCTGCTCGGGAGTAACAGTGATGCTGTCGTCGATGCGGAGCAGCGACGTGGCTGCCTCCAGCGCCGACTTCAGACTCTTGATCTTGGACATTGTGGGCTCGAGAACGCCAGCGGCACGGTTGTCGATGACTTCGCCATTCAGCAAGTCGAGGCCATAGAACATGAGCTGGCGCTTGGGGTCACCCGGAGCCGACGACTGCGCAGCGTTGTGGTACGCGCGCAGCTTGGCGACGAGATCGGTCGAGTCTTTGGCCGCGTTCATGGCTAGCGTCTTGGGAATTGTCAAAAGCGCGGCAGCAAACTCGGCAATGGCGAGCTGCTCCCGAGACCCGAGAGTTGTGGCAAAGTTCTCCAAGTAAATGGAGAGGGCGGTCTCCACCGCACCACCGCCTGGCACGACACTACCGCTCTCAAGCGTGCGCTTGATAATGGAAAGTGCGTCGTGCAGGGCACGCTCCATCTCGTCGAGCATGTAGTCGTTCGCGCCGCGCAGGATAATCGAGGAAGAGTTGACCACCTTGGTGCCGCGCACGAGGATGAGCTCATCGTCACTAATGCGCTCCTGCACCACCTCTTCCGCGTAACCGAGAGACGACGCCTCAAACGTTTCCTCGCCCTCCAAGTTCGACAGCGAAGACACAAGCTGCGCTCCCGTTGCCTTGGCAATACGCCTCAGGTCCTCCTTGCGACACCGGCGCACGGCCATGGCTCCTGCCTCCACAAACTCCTTGAGCACAAGGTCGTCGATACCCTTCGTCGTGAGGATGACGTTGGCGCCGGACGCGAGAATCTTGCGGACACGCTCCAGCGTGATCTCGGACTCGCGGGCGCGGATAGCCTCAAGCTGAGATGGGTCGTCAATGGTGATGTGCACCCCCAGATGCATGCGCTGCTTGGCAAGGTTCATGTCGAGACATGCGATCTTGGCACCCTGGATGCGCGTCTTCATGGCTGGTGGGTCAGTCGGCAACGCGTGAGAGTAGCTCACCCTGGCTGGCAACGGTGCAGTTGAGGGCGTAGCCCTTGACCGCGAACGACTCCCGCGCGCTCTTGCCGTGGGCCTTGAGCACATTAACAGCCTTGACGGGATACTTCTTCTCGCCACGGCCGTTAATCGTCTGCACCGCGAGCATAGCGTCGACGGCGAGGGGCGCAAAGAAATCGTCATCGCTGCAGGTTAGTTCTGCGGACATATGCAATTGCTGCACTCACGCCGCAAGGATCTTGGAGCTCATTGACGTCTTAGCGACGTTGATGAGGGCCTCTCTGCCGAGCTTGTCGACCTTTGTAGACATCTGCTCGGCCATGAAGCGGCACGCCTCCTTGCATGCAAGACGGTACCCAGCAATGACAGTGGTGGGGTGAATCTTGTTGCGCACCAACTCGTTTGCTCGCCTCAGGAGCTCTGAAGCGAGGAGAACGACCGAAGTGGTACCGTCGCCAACCTCCTTGTCCTGCTGAGTCGCAAGAGAGACGAGGATGCGCGCCTGTCGTCAGCTGCTAATCGTTGAAATATAATCTCACCGAGGGGTGCGATACCTCGAGGAGGGAAAGGATGGTCGCGCCGTCATTTGTGATCGTAACGTCGCCGACATTGTCAACAAGCATCTTGTCAAGGCTGCTGTCAGTTCGAGGGAGGTCGTTCAACTAACCCGACAGGGCCGAGCGACGACTTCAAAATGTTTGAAACCGACTGGCACGACATGACTAGCCGTTAGTACAACGCGCGCAGACTACCCACCATTCTGGTCGCGCACCTCGGCGCCGCTCACTCGCGAGCCTCCGAGGAAGAGGCCCTAGCTCGTCAGCGCAGCTTCCCAGAATCGACTTACGGCGCGGGGGTCGCGCTGGTACATGGAGGCGGCCATCGCGCTGTATTTGTGTAAAGTGGGAGCGCGGTTTTAGTGTAGAGGAGGTGAGAGTTGTGATGGAAGCTGTAGGAATGTCCAGCTTCGTTGCGTCGTCGACGACGCGCGTGGCCAGCGTCGCGCTCGACTTTACGCCCGCCGGGAGCATTTGGTTTGATCCCGCCGACACCTCCACCTTCCACGTGTTGGTGACATGATGGACCCAGGCGCCAGGCGCAAGTGCAGCGCGGGCGGGAGTGCGGAGAGGACGGATTGACGCGCTGGAAGATGCAGCGCGTCTTCATCTTGCTTCAACCCACTTGGGACTCACACCGCACTCGGTCACATTAGCCATGGGACGGAATGGCTTTTTGGGCGCCTTCCAAGGGCTGGATGCCTTCGGCAAGGTGAGAACGCCGAGTGCGCCGCTGACAATCAGACAATGGAGGATGTCAGGATCCGCACGCGTACTGGTGCTTTGTGTAAGCTCATGAGACGCTCGCAGCTGACAGAAGTGACATTCATCTCGTTCTCGATTATCCTAACGTCCGTATTGCTCGAATTCATCGACTACAGGCGTATCCGGCTCGAGCCGTCGCTAGAGGTCGACCGGTCGCGTGGAGAGAAGCTGGTGATCGAGATGGATATTGAGTTCCCGCGCGTCCCCTGCTACATGCTGTCGCTGGACGTCATGGACCTCTCTGGGGAACGACAGCATGATGTCTCCCATGACATGTCGAAGCAGCGTATCTCGGCGGACGGAACGTATCTCGAAGAGAAGCGGATGGGGCAGCTCAAGGGCGACGTGGAGCGCGCGGCGCAGACCAAGGACCCCAACTACTGCGGCAGCTGCTACGGCGCGTCACCACCTCCAAACGGGTGCTGCAACTCGTGCGAGGATGTTCGCCAGGCTTACGTCCGCCAGGGGTGGAGCTTTGTCAACCCCGACGGCATCGAGCAATGTGTCGAGGAGGGATGGAGCGAGAAGATGGAGCAGCAGAACGAGGAGGGATGCCGCCTCAGCGGCCAGGTGCGCGTGAACAAGGTCATCGGTAATCTTCACTTCTCGTATGGCAGCACATTCATGCGCCACGGCATGAACATCGCGGAGCTCGTGCCCTACCTGAAGGACAAGAACCACCACGACTTTGGCCATCGCATCATCAAGTTCCACTTCGGCGCTGATGTCTTACCGACCGAAAAGGCGCGCATGGAACCCAAGGAGATGAAAACGCGCCGCGCGCTACACATCAGCGACCCGCTGCAGGGACGACAGAATCATAGGCATGAGGGTGAGTCATGGCGGAGAATTGAAGACGCATCTGTCATGCCAAGCAGACGTGCTGCCAGTGATCTCTTGCGCCTGCTCCCTCCTGTCACTGCGTGCCGGCTAACCCCAGACAACACCAACTACATGTACCAAATTTTCGTCAAAGTGGTCTCCACAACGTTTGTATACTTGAACGGCGACGAGATCCCGACAAACCAGTACTCCGTGACGTCTTATGAGCGTGACCTGGCTCAAGGCAATATGCCGAGCCGCGACGGTGACGGGCGTATCACAAGCCACCACACTCAGGCCATTCCGGGCGTCTTCATCAACTACGAAATCTCGCCGATGAAGATCATCCACACTGAGACGCGGCAGAGCTTCGCGCACTTTGTGACGAGGTAAGTCGAGTGCGAGGAGAGAAGGCGTGAGCTCCCCCGCTTACGCCAGCACATGTGCCATCGTAGGCGGAGTCCTCACAGTTGCGTCACTGATCGACGCGGCAATCTTCAACAGCCGCAAGCGTCTGGGCAAGGAGTACGAGGGCGGACAGTACGGTGGCATTAGCGGCAAGATGGTTAGTGCTCTTAAAAGATTCTTGCTAACAACAGATGTAGCCGTGATCATGCATTTGAATAGAAATTGCAAGCTGCTATAACTGACGAGCAACTCTGCGTTTATTCTCCCGGCTCCTGCCGCCCCAGCACATCACTCTCCTCTCCTTCGCCCATCTCCTCCCATCCCGCCGCATTGCGGTACACGCCCTCCTCTATCTGGGACGCGTGGACCAGGCGCTCACCTAGGGCCATCATGCCCTCCGGCTCATCGAAAGGATTGTCGTCCTCATCGTCTTGCTCCCTTGGTGCTACAGAGGGCAGTCGGAATCGGCCGTCTCGGAGCGCCTCCGCAAAGGCCTCGTGCTCCTCTTCGTCCTCCTCGTCATTGTCAAATGGCGTGTCACGGGGCATGAACAGTGGTGTCCTCGTGCGCCCTTGCCCACTCGCGAAGGGGGTGGCGCTCGCATCGCGGAGGTTGCGTGACCCACGCCACGATCCCCCAGTCTCTGCGACAGAGGCGGAGCGTGTCGCGTTTCGCATGTTCCTAACTTGAGGCGCTGGTGCGCGTGGGGCGACATCGAGCGCCAAAGACGTTGACGAGTATCGCGTCCCCTTCATGCCGGTGCGAGAGCGAGAGCGGGAGGTCATGACGGATACGGAGCGTGTCGAGAGGCGAGAGGCAGGAGGCGCGTACTCCTCTGGCGGGAGGGGCGGGTAGGGCTCGACGATGAGCACAAGTTGCACGGAAGAGGTTCCGAAGCCTGCAGTCAGCTCTGGCGACGGAGCTCTACTGCTGAACACAGGTTAAGCTCACCCTGGTACGCGAGCGTGACGTCCGGTTTCCAGTCCTTGATCTGCGTCTCGTTGTCTTCGTCGTCCAACGTAGAAGGTCGCGGGACATACTCCTCGTCATCCAGCGGCTCAGCCTTGACTTCCATCACCTCCTCTTGGAGCTCGGCATCATCTCTCGCAGCTTCCACGTCTGCGACCATGCTATCTGTGCGCGCGCGCCTAGAGCGCTTCCGCTTGCGACTCGGTTCCGGGGCAAGCTGGGGGGGTGCTGGAGACGGCGGGCGGAGCGAGAAGGTCTTTTTCTGCGGGTGAGCAAGGGCGAAGATCTCCGGAAGAACAAAATGAAAGTGCTGCGAGCTCTTGACCCTCACCTTGAGTAGCACAACCTCGGTGCGCGTTGTGTTCCTTAGAAAGTAGCAATACTGGTACCCCTCTGAAACGTCAGCTCAAAATCATGTCAACAGAACCCACCACCGCGCTCGACGTAGACCTTGTGTTTCTTCTCATATCGTGACACTGTCAGCAACTCCTTTATTCTAGGATCAGTTCTAGATCATTGAAAGGGACAGTACTTCGGGTGCAGCTTGCCAATGACTCCATCGAGTGTCTCGGTGCTCATCCAGTCGACATGGCGCTCGTCGAGGTAGAGAAAGAGCGGGATAACGCGGTAATTTGAAGCGCGGAGATAGAACGCGTTGCGGGTCGAGAAGCGCATTGCAACGGACTCCAGCCAGTAGTATCTTGCTGATGAGAGGGGGAAGAAGGATGAGATTGTAGATTACTGAGAATGCCAGTATCAAGTCGCGAGCACCTCCACATCCATCCAGTCAACCGACGTCAGGCCACGTGGTGGGTTATACCTGAGCACACAATTCACAATAGTGGAGTTAGTAATTTCTTGTGGGCGCTCCATTACAAAGCTATTGCAGGATGCAGTCGCCCGCTGACGAGTCGCCTTTTGATTCCGTCCCCTGTTGTCGCTCACGAAGCCATCATCAGCGCTGCTTGAAGCCCTCGTCTCCCTACAGCACTCCCTCACCATGTCCACGCCAGCATCAGATCCCCCTCCCCCGAACCCACCCCCGCAGGCCGACAAGCCTGCTGAAAGCTCTGCAGACGCCGAGACCGCTGCCGCCACCGGCGAGGACGTCCGGATGGAGGAGAGCCCAAAGCCTGTCGAGGAGACCTGGGATGACATCCCGGACCATGTCCTGAAGGTGGGACTCATTCTTGAGGCGATAACAACTATGCTAATGCCAGTCCGACGCGCAGGAGATTCGCATGCAGACGCGCATGATCGATAACGAGGTGAAGATGATGCGCCAGGAGAACGTACGCCTCAGTCATGAGCGCGACCAGATGATTGAGAAGATCAAAGACAATACGACCAAGATCAAGCAGAATAAGGTGCTGCCGTATCTTGTGTCCAAGGTGGTGGAGATCCTCGACGTTGATGCCGAACCGCAAGAGGGCGCGGCGCACAATGAGCACAACGCCAAGAAGTCGAAATGCGCCGTCATCAAGACGACAACTCGTCAGGTAAGCTTCAATGGCAATGTGACTTGTCGTTCTGTGCTCATGCCAGACCGTCTTCCTTCCCATTATCGGCCTCGTTCCCCACAATGAGCTACAGCCCGGAGACCTGATTGGCGTCAACAAGGACTCGTACTTGATTCTTGACAAGCTGCCTGAAGAGTACGACGCGCGTGTGAAGGCAATGGAGGTCGACGAGCGGCCTACGGAGAGCTATGCCGACATTGGTGGGCTGGACAAGCAGATCGAGGAGCTGGTCGAGGCCATGTAAGCTATCCTGCCTCTCGACTTGAGCTGACAACAGTGTGCTGCCGATGCAGCAGGCGGACAAGTTCAAGACGCTCGGTATCACGCCACCGAAGGGATGCCTGATGTACGGCCCCCCAGGTACAGGCAAGACGCTGCTAGCGCGTGCGTGTGCTGCGCAAACGAGCGCGTGTTACCTCAAGCTGGCTGGACCGGCGCTCGTGCAGATGTACATTGGTGATGGCGCCAAGCTCGTGCGCGACGCCTTTGAGCTCGCAAAGAAGAAGGCGCCCGCCATCATCTTCATCGACGAACTGGATGCTGTCGGTACCAAGCGCTTCGACAACAACAAGGCTGGTGACCGTGAAGTGCAGCGCACTATGCTTGAGCTCCTTAACCAGCTGGATGGATTCTCATCGGACTCGCGCATCAAGGTGATCGCTGCGACGAACCGTATCGACATTCTTGACCCCGCATTGCTTCGTTCCGGGCGGCTTGACCGCAAGATTGAGTTCCCTCTGCCAAACGAGGCGTCGCGCGAGCAGATTCTCCAAATTCATGCACGCAAGCTCAACCACTCTGGTGTCAAGTGAGTTATGCGCACGCACCTAATGCTGATCGCAGCTTCGAGGAACTCGCCCGCTCAACGGAGGACATGAACGGCGCCCAGTTGAAGGCCGTGTGTGTGGAAGCCGGCATGGTGCGTAGCCCTTTGCGAAGTGAGAAAATCGATTATCCGCTGACAACAGCTCGCGTTGAGGCAAAACGCAACGCAGCTGTCGCACGAGCACTTTATTGGAGGTATCCTCGAGGTGCAGGCCCGCAAGGCCAAGGAACACCACTACTTCGCGTAAGAGATTCATGCATTGGACGAGCTGTAGAGTACTATGTGATGATTGCAGTGAGGTTATGGTTGGGTGGCGCGGGATGTATGGGTCCTGGATTGTATGTATGACGTGGACGCGTGGGGTAGACGCGTCCGCCCACTTCCGAAATGACCGCATAAACAATCTCGTCCCACTCTTCAACGATCGTTCAACATATCATCATCATCCCTCCGCCTCTCACCATGTCGTGGCCTCCCCTCGCAGCGCTTTTTCTTACCCACTTCCACGATCTCACAGGCCAAGAGGTCGTCTACTACCGCTCTCTCTCAGATGGTATGTCCTCCGCGATGTGGGCACTCCACTCTGTCTCGTTCCGCCTTCACTCGTTCTTCGGGGCTCTCCATCTTGAGGACGAACCACAGTCGCAGTCCATGTTTGCGTTGCAGCCTCCTTGGCGCGCTACACTTTCTTTCGCTGTCATCTATCACGCGCTTCTACCCTGCGTTCGCTAATCTAAGATACCACTCTCCCCCCAGCGCTCATCGAGCACACCACCCTTCCTTCCGGGTTGCACACGCGCGGCTCTGACCTTGTGATCTTCACCCATCATGGACTCCCTGGAGCTGGTCTGTTCCGTTCACGTACACGCGAAGGTGTTGATGCTGGGCGCGGAAGACGCATGGCCACTCTAGGCGCAGTGCTTGGTGAGTTGCGCCGACCTGCCCTCACCTCACCTCCCTTCGCTTTCGTCAGCCTCTCATTATACCTTCTGCGCAACTCGGCTTGTGCCCCCTTATGTGCTGCTGCCTCCCGTCCTACTTGATCTCTCCCTCTGTCGCCCACGCTCTACCGTCCCTCGACAATGGCGGTCAGCCTCCACCTACCTTGCCAGCGAACTTTACTCACACTAGCTCCGCCCACACCATCGGATACTGCGTTTGACCTCGCTGCTCCGCTTGAACACTTGTATGACAGCCTCGAGGGACTAGGGGACCCATTCGCAAAGACCGCGCCAGCCTACGATGCCGCTATCGCGCTTCTGGACGCAACGTGGAACGCACATAAGGCGGAGGGTTTGACTGGGTCGGCGGCGCAAAGTGCGACCACGGTCGCGGCGCGATTGTCGCGTGGCGTCAGCGTGAGTACTCCAATGGACGGCAAGTGCGGCTTCTTCTGGAGGCGGCACGCTAGGAGCCCAGTGCATCTGTCACCCGCTGAAGATAGACGTCAAATCCGGTGACATACTTTCCCGCTCTGCTGTCCATGCTCGGCCCTTCAATCGTTACGGTGTACAAGGCATCGCTGTCTGGGCAACGAATTGTGCGGTTAAGGCGGAGTATTGGAACTGACGACAGCTGCTCTACTCGCCCCCACCGATCTTGCCACTAAGCGCATTCGCCTGGTGCGTATGGGCAATGGGTCTCCCACCGTCCTCTGCTGCCAACGCCGGGGCTCGCTCATCTGCCTTCCTCGGTAACATCGGGTTGATGGACATCGACTCTGTCAAAGCCCGAACAGGTGGCTGGATAGCAAGTGCGCTTGCGCATGATTAGGCACCTGGCTAACAACAGCGACAACCGACACCGTGTTCAAGTCACATACTGATGGGTACGACATGTTCATCGACCTTAGCAACTCGCTGCCACTTCTGGGCGACGAGGAAGATATTCGAGCACCTCGCGACAAGTCGCTGCCGTCCCCTGAGGTTCTCACTTGCTTCCCACGCAGCGGACAGAAGCCCGTTGCCACAAGTACCAGCTACGCTTTCGCAGACCTCGCGCTTTACCGGTCCCTCGTTCTTCTGGACCAGTCTCCGAGAGGCGTGCGAGCCGAGACTGTCGGCTTCAGTGCCACCAATCGGGCCGGAGGCATCTGGCTGGTCGTCTTCGAAATGCTGGAGCGCGTGTGGAACCTGTGTGTGGGTGTGTGCGAGTTTGCTATGGGGCGTGGGCATCTCAACGGTCCGATTGCCCTTCCCGAAGGCGAGGAAGACGCGCGTCGTCTCCTTGCAACGGACATGTCCGAGCTTATTGGCGACGAGGACGACGAGGAGGCCTTCGACGAGCCGTCAATTGTGCCCTCCAGTTCCATGCCGGACGATGTCGCACGCCGCGGCCGGCTGATCCTCGACCAGCTGCATCACAATGCGTATCACCTGTACGCGCGGCTAATCAGCGTCGCTGCTGGCGGGTGGGAGTTGACTGATGACCACCTCCGCTCCTTGACGGGCGCCTCGCGTCTGAACCCTTGGGGTGGACGGGGGTCCTCTGAGGCACAGTTCTGGTTGCGCCTCGCTCGGACGTGGAATGTGGAGCCCGAGGCTGAGGAATAACGGGCGTAGGCCGTGTCGATGAGACATCACAGCGGAATCAGAGGAGAATGTCGTGCGGGTGGCGCTGAGCGCCGCAGCGCGCTTGTCAAGAAGGGAAGCTCCAGTATGTCGCAATGATCTAGAACACTGCAGCCAACATGGTGTGATGCCCGTGAGCGTGGAGCATGTGATAGCATATAGCTGGACCTTTTCCGGCCTGGCCATCGACCATGTGCGGAGGTCGTGGAGCACGGGCCTGGACGCTAATAAACGGTCAGGCGTCATCTTGGCGATTCCCACCATCCTGGGCGCAGATCATGGCGGTAGGTTCAAGATGTCTGCGATGCGCAGCCTGCCAAGACAGGTCTTGCGGCTAGGATCTGTTGTGCCGTGCACTGCCACTGTTTTCTGCGCGCTGCGGATGGCCGGCAACTTTAAACTGGCACCGAGCATGACGAGGGGCCTGGTACCTGGCCTCACTTGTGTCGACCCCCTCCTAGCCTACCTCCCAAAGTCCTGCGTCATATCCATGTCAAGACAACTGTCCATCACTAAGCTTCTCCCGCCACGGGATGGAGTGAGGTGTTTCGTCGAGGTTTCGTGGAAACGTGACTAGCTTCTCACAGCCAGGTCGTCGCTCGTTAAGCGCCAGCGGGCGTTTCATCAATGTATGGTGTCCAAAGGTTGCAGCCAGCCGCGTGCTGGCCGCGTTTCACAGGTGTCTCGGCGTCAACTGCCGTCTAGAGTGCCGGTCGTCAAGGCGCGTGTAGGCCATTTAACTCTATTGCCGCGCAGGACATGTCGGCACTCATGACGCTGACATGTGGTCGGCGATCTTTTTAGTGGCGAGTCTCACAGAAGACATGGCTCGCAGTATCACAGGAGTGGCGCTTGCAGGGGAATAATTCAAAGGCCACAGGTCCCGAAGGTCCGGTCCATGCGGCATTGGCATTGCAGCAACAAGGGCGCCTCTGTGCGCTATCTCCGAGTGTCTGAGAAGTGGAGTGCATGTGATGTTGTACGAAATCTCCACGCAGAAGGCTCAAAGCCTCGCGCAGTGAGGCCGAGTTGAGGTGTGAGGACCGGAGGTGGTCTTCTGACTCCCAAGTGCATGTGTAGATCATGTTGCCGAGCACGCAAGAGATCTCGACGTCTCGTGTTCTCGAGCACAGTACGTGTCCCGATAAGGGGCTTGAGAAAGGTCGGAGGAGCAGCTTCCGGTGGTGGGCAGCCAACGTAAGCCGCGCAAGGCTTGGGCGTGACGGGGACGAGAGCGGTAGTGCCTATGATGGGGAATAAGTTTGGTGGGTGGGTGGGTGCTGCGATCGGGAGGCTTGCCGTACTCCGGGAACAACAGAGCGGCGGAAGTTGAAGCCGAGGGAAGCGGGGGAAGCAGCGTAGCGAAGCCCAGCCAGGGGAGGAGGGGGAGGAGGGGAGGAAGGGCGCGGAGAGATGGCGGAGAACAGCGAGGGACGCAGCTTGGAGGCGGCAGCTGAGGCGGATTACCACAGAGTCTTTTGCAAGTTGCATTCCGTGACGCGCGGTCTCTCTGCGTGTGCCTCTGCCACTGGGGGCCTTTGTGCCACCCCGCACATACCCACTTTGATTAGGATATCCAATAATGGCCGCTTGTAAAGGCGTTCAGGAACGTTATGCGGTGGACGTGGTAGGCTCAGCCCTGGAGTACAGTGGCTGGGGTGGGAGCCCTGTTGCGCTCCTCTCGCAGTGCTGCTGCGCGCGACTTGGTCGTCGCAACTCGCATCAACTCAATCTCACTGGCGCTCATTCATCTCCCACACTTCCTCCCTCTCTCTCCATCACAAACAACAACCCTCCCCTTTCTCACCATATCACCATCCCCCTCGGCCTCGCCATCACTCTATAGCCTCTCGCCA